CCCATCCTGTTAAGTCGATGGAAGGCAACATTTGTGTCATCGTTGAACCCAAAGGGGGACATTGGCATACTCCTGCTTGCTCTCACACTCAAGGCATGTTCTGGCACGCAGCCGCTGTCGGATGTTGAGCTTTTTGTTTTGAGGGCCTGTGCTTCGGTTCAGAACTTTGAGGTTTGTGGCCTGACACATGTAAGCCCCAACAAATACTCTTAAATGTTTAGACGACGTCGTCTAAACAAGTTTCCTGTTTCTTGCGTTGCAAAGCAAGGCTCCCGCGTAGGCAAAACACTCAGAAACACTAAGAAGCGCCCGCCCTTCGAGTAATCTGTGCAGTGTTGCTCTAAAACCGAGGTTTTCGGCGCTTTTGCACTTGAGCACACCCCTACGCAAAAAGCAAAAGCAGGGCACACCAGCCCGCGTGCTACCATGTTCTAGCCTAAAGGCCTGAAACCCGTGATACTTCATCAGGCACATGAACGACGATCATCGCGAAGCCACGAAAGCCATGGTGAGGCGCCACAAGGGCGGCTGAAATTGCTCGGTAGTTGGGGTCTAAGGCTCCGCGATTCTCTGCTCACAGGAAGCCGAAAGTCATGCTTTCAGCCTTTTGGCTTTAAACCTGGAGCTGTAAGCCTGAAGCCTTAAGAAGAACCAGGGTAAACCAAGAAAAGCCCTGGTTGCTCGCAGGAACTACATCGGCATAGATGTGGAAGATGCTGAGATCACGGCCATGGACAGCCACATCCTGACAATGGGAGCGTAGCTTCTAGAGTTGTCTTCAGAGTGTCGGGAAGGTTGCACGTTCAGGCTTTCAGGTTCAGGGTTCAAGATGGTTCAGGTCCCTAAACCCTAAACCCCAAACCCGAAACCCTCAACCCTAAACCCGAAACCCTAAACCCCAAATCCTAAACTCTAAACCCTAAGCCCTAAACCCAGGTTTTAAGGCTCAGGGCTTCGAGTTGTTGATGAGCATGCATGTCCATCCACGGGCATGCTTCGTGATCCGACGCATGCGTGCCGCGGCATTGATGCACTTTTTTGAATCCCCCTCAAACATGGTTCAGGGTTGAGGGTTTCGTGTTTAGGGTTTAGGGATTTTGCGTTCGGCAGAGACCCGCCCCAGTATTCTCCACATCCTCCCCGGTGTGGCCCAGGCCTCGGCATGTACGTGAAGGTGTCCAGGACGCCGAAGGCTGCGGGATGTCCCAAAAGTGGGTTTTCGTTTAGGGCTTGGGGGGTTTAGGGTTCGGGGGTTTAGGGGTTTGCGGGGGGGGGGGGGGGGTTTGGGGGATTTGGGGGGTTTGGGGGATTTGGGGGGTTTTGGGGGATGTACTCGTAGGGGTTTTGGGGATGTAGGGGTTTCAGGGTTGAGGGATGTTATGCATGCTGTCTGGTGGTTTGGGGGTTTTAGGGGTTGGGGGTCAGAAACATCAGGGTTCAAAGGGGCTTCAAGTGCCTTAGGGCTCTAAGGTTTCTGCTTTGGGAAACTTTTTAAAAGAGTTCAAAACCTAAGGTTGAGCCACAGATCTCCACACACCCATGAACTTCCTGGCGCCCCAGCATCCCCCAAACTTTCATCAAATTCCCTGGCAGAGGCCGCCGACCAAATGCAGCAGTTCAAGCTCCGCCTGCCTTTCATCCGCAAGCTCGAGAGCCGCAAGGAACAGGGGGGGAAAACCTGGGGGGCGGGGGGGGGGGGGGGGGTTTGAGGCTGCAGGGTGCACGCCTCCGTTTTGCTTCGGGTTGTTGGGTCGTTTCAGAAGTAGACTCAGGGTTGAAGGGTCGGGGGTCCGCTGACGAGGTTTGCGAATATGGGGTGGGGGGGAGCTGTCAGAAGTCATAGCTGCGACAGGCAGGGTACGCGGAACCCAAGCAGGTTTAGGGCTGCGGGCTCGGGAGGCGACTCCCGATTCCTTGCGGCGTGGCTTTGTTGGATTTGGTCCTTGATTCTTGGGTACCAATGTGAAATAGTCTTTAGTTCCTTTATTGCATAATTATAGAACTCTGGGTATAGATGCATTTTGGGGATGGGTGAGAGTTGAGGTCGAGGTCCTCCGTTGCCGCCGTCTCCCGGCTTTGGGGACCGTTTTCCTACTTCCGCCATGCGGTCAAGCCCTCAACCCTAAGCCCTCAACTCCAAAGCACCTAATTGTTGGCTTGATTGGTTGCTACCTGACTATAGTTGCAAGCTTACTCACGCGTTTCTTTGTGGGCTGTGGACGGAGTCTTTCGCCTTTCCTGCGCCCTGTGGGTTTTCATGTTTGTTCGTGGCTGATGACTTGGAAGGATGCGAAGGACGTGATCGTCGAGATGACGAGGGCGAGCGGGCTGTTGTTGAAAGCAAGTGCACGGTTGCTCTTGTAGCCTCAGACAGATATCCTAAACATTCCTAAACCCTAAACCCTAACCCCTGAACCCTAAACCCTAAACCCTAAACAAGAAGCCTTTACAGGATTCGGCTCCCAAGGGCCAAGGCCCACAGGACCAGGTTTCGAGCATGATCTTGCAGGGGGCTTCCAAGTGGGTTTTTCCCAGTGGTTTAGGGTTTAGGGTCTAGGGTTTCGGGGTGCATGAAGGCAAGTGCCGAGTTCATGCCCAAGAAGGAGGATGCCTGAGACATGGGCAGCTTGTGGTGGTAGCCCGGTGGCCTTTGGAGTAGGTCGCTTGCGATCTATGGGTATGGTATTTGCTCATATCGCCGCTGTGAATTGAAGGAGAAGGGCATCCGACGACTAGGAAGCATCTGCTTGAGCTCGAAGATGTTGGCGCTTCAGGGTGGAGGGCTTGTACAGGGCTCGCAGCTCTTGTGGAGCTTTCTAGCGTCAAGAAGCAGCACTCAGTCCCCAGAATCATTTTTCTAGGGCAGCTGGGGTTGGAGTCAAGAACTGGTCAAAGGTCAGCTGTAAACTCGCAATGGCTGCAATGGAGCTCACGTGAGGCTTTTGTGGGGTTGATTGCCGATGTGCCGATGCCGCTTCTTCGAGGTTGCTTTGCTCAGCAACAGCCTGAGATCTGAGATTTTCACGCGCTCCAAGCCCCTCCGCGTGGGAGGGGACGGTACGGAAACCAGCAAGACGAAACCCCTAGACCCTAAACCCTGAACCCCCTGAACCCCCTGAACCCCCTGAACCCTGAACCCTAAACCCTAAACACTAAACCCTAAACTCTAAACCCTAAACCCTAAACCCTAAACCCTAAACCCTAAACAGCGAAGCTCGCAGGATGTCTGAAAGCAGTGCTACATTTGCCCGAGTGAACCCCAACCCCTTTTGGAGATTTCCTTGGGCCAAGGGGCAATGGTGTTTAGGGTTGAGGGTTTAAGGCTTTCGGGGCTTCGGGGCTTTTGGGCCAAGGGGCAATGGTGTTTAGGGTTTAGGGCTTCTCCTGTGCACATAAAGTCTTGAAGCTCTGTTTGATGACAGTCCGGGCAATTACACGACAGTCCGTAAGTATCATCTTAAAGCATCCGAGCGCAAAACGTTGTTTAAGCATCGGGCAATCATGCTTTGCTGCTGAGGGAAAGTCATTCCAACTTTGAGCACGTGGCGAAATTTGACGTAGAGCGGTTGCAGAACAGTTGAAATTTATAAACGCGACGAAAATGTGTATCATCAGTTGGTGAAGAGTTCAATTTCACAAACTGTTGAACTGCTTGCAATAGCAATGTTCGATTTTTCAGAGTACATACATTTGCAATACAAATTCTGAACAAATCTACCTAACCCTAAACCCTGAAACCCCTTTTGGTCAGCACTGAAGTCAGACATTCATCAGACATCGATTTTCTGTGCGCGCGGGGAGCCAGAAAAAGCCGCTGCCTGTGTTTGATGGTTTCGGGCTTGGGCATTAGACGGTTCAGGGTTTCCAACACGACCACGCTTTGCTTCCAGCGACGGAGTGGGCTTGGGCTTCAAAGCCCGGCGGCTACAGCTTGATAAGCCACATGGGGGTTTCCGAAAACATGGGGTACCCGTTTTGAGGGTTTCTTTTGCTAAAGATTATAGTATTTGGGGGTATGTTCGGGGTACCCCTATTTTGGGAAATGCCCACATGACCAGGATTTGTCTAGGGCACACCAAAGAAGAACAACTTATCATTCGTCGTAGTCGTAGTCGTTGTAGGTCGCCAACCTGTGCTTACAGCGCGGTTAGACAACTTCTCATTGCAACTGTAGTTCTCACTTGGGGACTGTTTTTACATCTCTTGGGGTCACACTTTCGATGTAGGGATGGCGAAGTACTCGTAGCACCCATCTTTGATTGGTCTGAGGAAGCATGTGGCGAGCTTGAACCTTGCTTCCGTCTCCAGCATCCGTCTCCAGCTACGGGGGAGCCACAAGCAAGCGAAGAGGGCAAACTCTAAGACCTCTGCCGTAAACCCAGAGCAGTTGAATTTCAGACATGTTTTTGAGGCTTTAGATTTATCAGGACCATTTAGGGCTTGGGGCGATCTTTCGAACAATTCTTGCGCCACTCTGATAGTCCTCTTGCCTTCCTTTTTTCAGCTTCGAGTCGGTTCTGGTTCGACTCCGAAGCTTTCTTGAACCACATGTTAAGGTACATCATGTAAATAACAAAATAATTAAGAAATACATATGTGTGTACACACAGATATATATAGTGCACAATAAGTGATGCTGAGAGGATGGTCGTGAGTCCATATACACCTGCGCGGCCACAAACCATTCCATAGGTCCACGTCGAGCGTTCAACCCACTATGTCGAGTGGAAAAGCTTGTCAACAGCAGTTGGGCCAGCGCAGCCAGCAAGTGCTCGCCTAGCTGTTTTGCTCAAGTGCAGACGATGATGAAATCACGCTTGAGCAATCGTACGCGGAGAACCAGCTGCGCTTAAGTTGATTTGCACCCCAGCCCCGCGTACTCACTGTTTTCCTCAGACCTCCGCCACCTCATGCCTGGTAGATTCTGGTAGATCCAGCCCTGTTAGCCCAAGCTGCACCCAGCCCCAAACACCCGCAACCCCCTGGAACGGCCTGACGCCATGCCTCGTCTGACAGAGGAGTTGATCCGAAAGCGCCCGTGCCCCATCCTCCTGCAGGTAGTGCACAGTGCATCGATGGGTAGCGCGGCCACAGTACTTTGAGTTGACATGCGACGGAGGCTTTCTGACGACGCAATAGAGGAACCACAAAATTCTTTCGGTTTCATTGGGTTTCAGCTCTGTCTAGAAGGGAATTCCGAGGAAGTTGTGTTTCCATAAGCTTTAAATTCCTTTTCAGGTGCGGAGCACAATGAGGGCGTCCTCTCGGACCTTGAAGAGATCGCACTGCACCAGCAGGCAGACGTGCGCACTTGGTGGTTGTTGATGTCTGCAGTAAATGGCATGCCCGCCCCCCTGGGTATCTACCCCAAACAAAACCCCTTCATTAGGCTGCAGGGTTTAGGAGGGTTTTGGACTTGAGCCTGGTCGTTCGGAGCCCCAAAGGGTTATTCAGGGCTAGATTCGAGTTCCATAAGACTCTGCTAAGACTGCTTTTTGGGGGGAAGGACGTGCAAGTCTTCCTGTAGTTCTAAGCCAACCATGCCTTGGCCTTCTTGGCAGTGAGGCCCCGATGTAGCCCCTGCACCGGCATGCAGTGCCACTTAGTCGGTCGCTCCTTCCAGTTGCAAGGGGTTTTGGTGCCTGCAAAGCTCGTCTGTCTCGTGTGTGTGTGTGTGTGTGTGTGTGTGTGTGTGTGTGTGTGTGTGTGTGTGTGTGTGTGTGTGTGTGTGTGTGTGTGTGTGTGTGTGTGTGTGTGTGTGTGTGTGTGTGTGTGTGTGTGTGTGTGTGTGTGTGTGTGTGTGTGTGTGTGTGTGTGTGTGTGTGTGTGTGTGTGTGTGTGTGTGTGTGTGGTGTGTGTGTGGGTGTGTGTGTGTGAGTGTTGCTGTGTGTGTGTGTGCGTGTGTGTGGGTGTGCGTGTGCGTGTGCGTGTGCGTGTGCTGTGCGTGTGCGTGTGCGTGTGCGTGTGCGTGTGCGTGTGCGTGTGCGTGTGGGTGCGCGTGGCGTGTGTGTGTGTTCGTGTGCGTGTGCGTTGCGTGTGCGTGTGCGTGTGCGTGTGCGTGTGCGTGTGCGTGTGCGTGTGCGTGTGCGTGTGCGTGTGCGTGTGCGTGTGCGTGTGCGTGTGCTTGTGCGTGTGCGTGTGCGTGTGCGTGTGCGTGTGCGTGTGCGTGTGCGTGTGCGTGTGCGTGTGCGTGTGCGTGTGCGTGTGCGTGTGCGTGTGCGTGTGCGTGTGCGTGTGCGTGTGCGTGTGCGTGTGCGTGTGCGTGTGCGTGTGCGTGTGCGTGTGCGTGTGCGTGTGCGTGTGCGTGTGCGTGTGCGTGTGCGTGTGCGTGTGCGTGTGCGTGTGCGTGTGCGTGTGCGTGTGCGTGTGCGTGTGCGTGTGCGTGTGCGTGTGCGTGTGCGTGTGCGTGTGCGTGTGCGTGTGCGTGTGCGTGTGCGTGTGCGTGTGCGTGTGCGTGTGCGTGTGCGTGTGCGTGTGCGTGTGCGTGTGCGTGTGCGTGTGCGTGTGCGTGTGCGTGTGCGTGTGCGTGTGCGTGTGCGTGTGCGTGTGCGTGTGCGTGTGCGTGTGCGTGTGGGTGTGGGTGTGTGTGTGTGTGTGTGTGTGTGCATGTCTGCGGCGCGTGTCTGTATGAGAGTGTGGCTTTGTATCAGCTGAACGCACCACCGGCTGTGTTGGCCTCTAGGAATTGCTGCAAGTATTAGCCTCCCCTCTTACCCGGATCTTCTTGACTCCGGCTGTCCAAGACCCTGCACCTTCTGCCCCACACCTTAGTACGCTGAAAGGAGATCGAGGGCATCGAAAGCCTAGAAGCTTGCTGCCGACATATCAAGACGCTGGGCATAATCTTGTCTTGCAAGGGTTTGCGTTTGGGTATGTTTGGGTTCTCTAGACACAGGCCTAGGAGTCTAGGGCCTGGACAGAGCAGGTTTTCCTGGAGGTCTCCGTAACGCCCTCCCCTCTTTGAAGTTGAGCCGTGGCGAAGTTAGAAGTGAACTCTCAGAACAACTCCCACTCGGTCCGATGCCTGGGTTGCGGTCAAGAATTCTAAGTTCGACATACACCCTAAACCCTAAGCCCTAAACCCTCAACCCTCAGCCCTAAGCCCTGAGCCCTAAGCCCTAAGCCCTAAGCCCTAAGCCCTAAGCCCGAAGCCAAGCCCCTGCCACCTACTTCGTTGGCCGAGGATCCTGCTCCTCCAGAACAACATCATTCCGAAGATGGAAGGTGCCCCGGGGTGTTTAGGGTCCAGCTTCCCAAAGTGTAGGGATTGTGTTGTATGCTTGTCTGTGACGAGTGGAGGGCTTGGAGCCCCAGGCCCCAAACCCTAAACCTCCGGCTTGCTTGGCGATTTGAGGCTTGCGGCTCAGGCCTCCAATCCTTGAGGAATTTGTGGCGCTGGGGTGGTCCTTGCCTTCCTTGCTTTCCCCTGAGCCCCACACCCTAAACCCAAAATGCCCCAAGGCGCTTGACAAGCTTTGAAATGGGCAGGTTGGGATGTTCCCCCTTATACTAACAGTCCTTAAAAGGGATTATAGTACCCCTTGTTATAATCTGTAGAAAGAGGAAACATCCCGGCAGGTCTCAACAAGCTGAAGGAGCTGGAGTACTTGAATCTTGCCGGGGTCCTGGAGGGGATCTAGGGTCTGGGGGCAAAGCTTCTCCCCTCTTGGCTGCCACTTGCGCCTTAGAAAAGACTCCTAAACCCTAAACCCTAAACCCTAAACCCTAAACCCTAAACCCTAAACCCTAAACCCTAAACCCTAAATCCTAAACCCTAAACCCTAAACCTTAGACCCTAAACCCTAAACCCTAAACCCTGAACCCTGAACCCTGAACCCTAAACCCTAAACCCTAAACCTTAAACCCTAAACCCTAAACCCTAAACCCTGAACCCTGAACCCTGAACCCTAAACCCTAAACCCTGAACCCTGAACCCTAAACCCTAAACCCTAAACCCTCAGCCCTGAACCCTAAACCCTAAACCCTAAACCCTAAACCCTAAACCCTAAACCCTAAACCCTGAACCCTAAACCCTAAACCCTCAACCCCAAACCCTAAACCCTTGAGCTGCCGAAGTGCAAAGATCGAAGTGCAGGCCCTCAACAACGTCTCGAAGATTGAAGGCATCGACGGCTGCGAGTCGTTGAAGAAGCCAGCGCCCCGATGGTCCTTAGAGAGGGGTGCAGGGTTCAGGGTTTAGGGCTAGGGTTTAGGGTTTTTGGTTTGGGAATCTCAGAGCTTGGGGACGCAGCAGGAGTGGGGCGCTAAGCCTAGGCCTCAGGGTCCCCAAAACCCCGCTATCAGGGTTTAGGGCTTATGAAACTCCAAATGCCCAGAAGCCCTCAAAACCCGAAAGCCCAAAAACCTCAAAATCCAGCCACTGGCCCCCCTCGCCCTTGACTTGGGTCTTAAGATGTCGGGTATAGGTTTTGGAGTTCAAGTTTAGGATTTAAAGTTTCTCTGGCCTTACCTAAACGCTAGAGTAGAGGGTTGTTAGGGCTATTAGGGTTTCCTTAGACCCTGAACCGCTTGGGGGATCCTGAGGCTGGATCTGACGGTGAACTTTATCACTGCGGAGGACTTGGAGGAGAGTGGGGGCCTCAGTGGCATGCAACGTAATATTAAATATGTATACGAATGTGAATATGTTTTTGTGAAACAAGGCACGTACATATATGTATATGTATATACGTATGTTGCGTGTGGGGTTCTGCAGCAGGGTTGAGGTCCCATCTGCCCCAGTCCTTTTTTCTAAGTAGGAATCCGGTTACAGCATGTGGGACCCAGTGATACTGCTTTTCCTTTGCGCTTTAGGCCCGGTTCCCTTGTACATCATGAAGCACGAGTGGTTCCCGCTTATTTCTTCTAGGTTGCTGAAAAGCCCTAGGATATGGGGTGGCTACCGCAGAGGTGCCTTGTGTGTGTGTGAGAGAGGGAGAGCAACAGAGCGCGCATGAGTGCGCTTTGGTGTGGCACCTTCGGGGGCTATATTTGTTGTGAGAGAGTCAGGGAGCCTCGTGCGCCAACGAAAGAACGACAGAACGGAAGAAAACAAGAAGCAAAAAGAGATCGAAGAATCGGTGCAATGGACATGCTGAAAGGACAGCACGTGGTTGTCAGTTCACTTTGAGGCGCTTGTTGACACTCGGACTCTTTTCTCGAACTTGCCTTCATATTAGGCCCAGTTCAGCCACAACCTTGACTTGACTCTGAGGTGTTTACAACCTCAAGGCCAACATGATGTTGGAGGACCTGTACCTGACTGGCAACCCATGTAGGGCGCCAAGTGTGTTCTACCTGCAGCAGGAATGGGCCCCCAAAACCACCCCCTAGACCCTAGAGCCTGAAACCCAACCCAATATACAAGGGTGTACCGAAGACCAAAAAACCCAAAACCCGAAAACCGCCACAGAAAGTTACTCGGGCCCGTCTAGTCGGGCCAGGGCGTGTTCTAGGGCTTCGGGTTTTACATTTCGGGGAGCTGAGCTTGTAGCTGTCCCTCAAGCGGCGAAGATCTCGCCCAAGAGGCGAGCGTAGTTGACGTGGATCACCTTTGCCAGAATACCGCCTGACCCCCCTCCGAACCCCTGAGGCGCGAGCATTCTAAACCCCAAACGCTTCTCATGCTCCAGTCCCTGTTGCTTGCCGCCTCGGCGCGGCTCGTTCCCTTAGGGATTAGGGTTGATGGCGCGACCGCGCGCTCCCCCATGCTCGCTTCTGCACGGTGTGAGAGACTCCGGAACCCTAAACCCTAAACCCTAAACCCTAAACCCCAAACCCCAAACCCTGAGCAGTCAAGTCACTGCCAAGGTGCCGACTGGTCGGGCTGCCGAGCGTACGTCGTTGCCCATCTGCCCCTGGGCTGCCAGCGCCGAGGGTTTAGGGTTTAGGGTTTAGGGTTTAGGGTTTGAGGTTTAGGGTTTGAGGTTTAGGGTTTGAGGTTTAGGGTTTAGGGTTTGGGGTTTGGGGTTTGGGGTTTGGGGTTTGGGTGCTCAAGCCTTCACACCTCTCACCACGCCCGGGCCTACTTAAACAGAGACCTCACTCCCCGGAGGTACCTTCTCCCCAGAAGTGCTTGTTTGTTGCTCCTGTTTTACTAGGCGCTTCCTCGTTGCATCCCTTGCAAAGGGGTGAGGAAAGAGTCCTCCAGTAGGAGGTGCCCCAAAGCAGGAAGCCCCAAGCCCCCTGAAAGTAGGGTTGAGGGTTTAGGGTTTAGGGCTTAGGGTTTAGGGCTTAGGGTTTAGGGTTTAGGGTTTAGGGCTTAGGGTTATGAACCTTGACGACCTGCCGTGAATTCTAAACTCCCGGGACAACATTCACGACCCATGCGGTCTGCCGACCGAGCCGCCCTAACACATTCTCAGGCCACAACTGAAGCAGCTGGACGCGAAGCTGGTGCGGGCCTCGTGCTTCGAGAGCACGACGCACCGAAACCCGAACGAAGGCTCTGATCCCAAACCCGAGACCCTTTGCCATCAGCCTAAGCTCTGTAGAATGAAAACAAAGAACGAATTTTGAAGGCCTATGGGCGTTGAACCCTCAGAGCTCCTCATTGCTGTTCCACCTGGCACAGTGCAGTGGGAAGGTAGAAGTTGTGGCTCAGAGCTTCAACCGTTGAAATAGTCGGCTTGGGTGCTGCCTTTCCTGCGAGATTTTTGCACTCCGCCGCGCCCATTTGGGAGTAGTGAGCTGCTCCTGTGCAAGCGCCTTGGAAGCCCTAAAAAGCCCTTTCTGGGGCTCCCCAAGATCTTCCGATGCGCTGAGATCGTTCCCCGCGAGCGAATCAAAGCCCGCCAGCAGCTGCCGAGGCAAATTTGGTCCCAGGGTTCCAGGGTTGAGGATGCAGAGGTTGCAGAGGCTTAAGGCTTAGGTTTAAAGGCGAGGTCGAAGCTAAACCTGAATCTTGCCAATGCCAGTTGTTAACGCTTGTCTCCCCGAGGTTGTAGGATCTAAACGCAAGCCCGGCGAGGATTTGCCTTTAAAGTATGAGCTCGCTGATGTTTTGACATCGCGTGCCTCAGTCCTCTGGCGTACCCGATTGTTCCTGCGCTGGCTTCCCGTATCATTGTGTAGGGCTGTTGTTTTACCGGCGCCACGCGGGTGTGTGCACGTAGTCCCCCGCCTTATCCCAAGTCTGTTCGAGGCTTCTAGAGGGGCACTTGACATGTACAGTATGTGGGTGTGTGTGAGTGTGAGTGTGAGTGTGTTGGGCTCATCTTAAAGGGCGTTTGTGTAGACACAGGAAAAGTTATCATAGAATATACATACATACACCACAACATAATGATGTGTGTATGTTTGCATGTGTACATGTGTTTCACATGCGTCGCTCGCGCACAGACACGCCTCCCCTCGCTGCTGCACAGTCGTATCTTATCCCACACAGCTGCCTTGAGCAACACATCGACATGTGGGGCGATCCAGTCCCCGCAGGCTGCAGAAAGAGCTCGAGGATCTCGCGCAGGCTACGCCCCATGCACTGCCAAGTTCTAGAGAACTCGACTTAGGTGCTGAAGCCCCAAATCCCCAAAGAACCGAATGGTAGCTGCCGAGAGCATCCCGTTGCAATTGCTACATGCTTCTCTTAGCAACTGCCACTAGGTTTTGGGGGTTCTGGTGTTGTTAATCCCCATGGTACCCAAAGCGGTATGAATTGTGGCCTTGTCAAGTGTTGAGCTGCAGGTGTAACGGCCCATAAGTTGCGGAAGCTAGGCGGCCTAGCGCAAACTAAACCCTAGGCCTTTCAGAGCTACCCGTATTCCCTGGTCCATGAGAACAAAAGCTTCGCGGAGCAAAATGGGTAGACCCTAAACTCTAAACTCAAAGCCCTAAACCCTAAACTGGCCCAAAACGCTTACACCCTACACACATTACACACCCTATGCAGCTCGCTAGGCGATGAAGTCATGGGACATATCGTTATCATATCGTTGCATCTGAGAGAAAGAGCCCTAAACCCTAAATCCCCTTAAAAAATCTGGGGAACCTCAAAAAGCCGAACCTCCTCCCTCCCCCCCTCCCCTCCTCCCCGCCTGCTCCCAAGCCTGGCACAGGAAGCGCGCCTGAAGCGGCTCCGGGAGTTGGGGCAACCTGTGGATGAAGGTGCCTACACGAAGGAGCCGCTGCTTCCTTTTAAAGCAGATGAATGTCGCTCTCTCTCCCTCTCTCGTTCTTTCTCTGTTGCGCGTCGCTGTATATCATAGTAAAATAGAACTATAATGAGACCATATATATATATATGTATGTACATAGTTGTATATATTTATACATATGTATATATATATATATACATATACATATACATATACATACACGTAGATTCTTGCAAAAATGGTTTTGGGGTCCATGGTTTCGTTTTGTTTTGGGGCAGGGTGGTATCATGACTTGATTCCCGGGGTTGTTGGCTATGTCTTTATGCTGTGGGCCTGCGCGTGCAATGTTTGGTCCAGCTACAGTTCCAAGAGCCGACCGGAAACACCTTGATCCGAAGCCCTAAACCCAAGCCCAAACCCCCAAAGTTCCCACAAGGAGAGCCGCAACGAGATGTACCTGGAGCTCGCTGAGCAGAAGGCCGAGAAGGCGAAAGGGCTCGGGGTTTCTGGATTTTCGGTCGAAGATTTGTGCCCAAAACCCTGGAACGACCCGAAGGTCCCACGTTTCCCCGTTAGGGAAGAGGGTTTGAGAGGGGCCGCTGGCTCCTCAAATGTCTCGCCTTGAGGGTGTTCGTGTTGCGCAGGAGCGGAATGAGCGCCGAAGAATGGGCCTCGAACCCGGCGACGACGGACTTCCCTTCAGTGATGTGGGTCCTCGAATCGGGGGAAGTTGGGAGTTGCCGGCAGTATGAATCCCTAGAAGTCCTGCGTGTCATTATGCAGCTAGGTGCTCATTTCAGGGGTTCCCTATAGCCCTCTAAGGAGTTTTTTTCTTTTTTATACTAAACCCAAGGGAACGTTTCAAGCATTACGTTTAGTGAGGTTCCAGGGGGAGTATAGCTCTAGGAGTTCTCGGTAGGAGGGAGGATGCCCTGCCCTGATCGCTAGCCATGAAACAGTTGCGTTGCCTCAGCGGAACTCGTTGCAGCAAAGATCCTCCGCCAGCGCAACTCTGCCGGAAGCCTAAGAACCCCAATCATATATGTACATGTTGAAGACAACACACATATAGGAATAGGATGAAGAAAAACTCTTTTATTCTATTCCTGCGCTCTCACGCCGTTTAGGGGTTGGGGTGCTCTGAGGCGCTGAGCCAAAGGAACCTCGTGTGGTGCCAGGGCCTTGGTTGAGACTTTGCCGTACAGCGTCGGGTTTACATCACCTCAGAAAGGGTGGCTTATATAGATTGCCAGGAGACTCTTCGTGGAAGGGACCCTGTTCCGGGCGTGGGGGCTTGGGATTTGGGTGGACCTCCTTGAGTTCATGTAGGTTTCCGAGCGATGCGTGAACCCTTGTGTTTCAAGTTTCGGGGGAGGTGGCTATTTCGGTGACGGTGGCGCGAGAATGTTTCAGAAGCCGTGGAGTTTTGCCTCTTATTGCAGCCCTGTGCGCAACCCTCCGGGCACCCTGCACCGGCCTGACCCCGAGCCTGTTGGGCCAGATGTCTTGCAAACCTATGTTGTTGCCGTGCTGAGGCCTGGCGTGCACAACGCCCGCGGCGAAATCCGGCAGTGTCAGCTCCCCAGCGCGCAACGCATGTTGGTGGTGGCTCTACGGCTCTACGTTCTCATACGCTGTAGCATTGACCGTGCCGGCGCGAACGCTCGGCTCTCAACAGACCTGAGCACACACTGTTAGAAATCAATCGTCTTCCTTGCACCGTTTCTGTCATTCGAGGCAACGAGGGCAAGTACAACTTCGACCTGGATGACTGGACACACCCGGACAAAATCGTCTTCGAGTTGGCTGTCCCAAAGTGCCGCATCCTGTCACGATGAGTGCAGCAGAATAGAAATCATCAATGTCAAGAATAAACAGCGGCCATTGAGATGACGACTACGACTCCACAACCGCGCCCAAAGGCGAGTTTGTGGACTCAATGAACGTTCAGCGACATTTTTTGGGGAGTCAAGCGACTCAGACTCTCAGGCACGTTCTCCGGGCATTGTAGGATTGACAATCAAACTCCACAGGGATGGCCCTCTTAGGGTTTAGGGTTCAGGGGTTTAGGGGTTTAGGGGTTTAGGGGTTTAGGGGTTTAGGGTTCGGGGAGGTACCTGGACACCTCGGCCTTGGATGTGGACGTCAACCCCTCGTACGTCCGCGTGGCGGCTTGCCTTCCCGAAGGGTTTTGTTTGTTAGGGTCTGGCGGTTTAGGGGTTTAGGGGTTTAGGGTTTAGGGTTTTAGGGTTTAGGGTTTAGGGTTTAGGGGTTTAGGGGTTTAGGGGTTTAGGGGTTTAGGGGTTTAGGGGTTTAGGGGTTCAGGGGTTTAGGGGTTTAGGGGTTTAGGGGTTTAGGGGTTTAGGGGTTTAGGGGTTGGATTTAGGTGTTTAGGGGTTTAGAGGTCTACGGGTTTGGGGTTTAGGGGTTCAGGGCTCAGAGTTTTTTTCTCATACCCCGTGCCCCAAGCACGAAAGCTGCGAGGAAAAACATGCTTAAGGCAAAGCTTTGAGACATGGATGCGTGGTGATTGAACATGTGATAATTCGAACTGCGCAATTAAAACCTACACCATTGCCACGGATGTCGATCATGTGCTTGTTGCATCAAAGCTTCTCCGTTTCTACGCATCATTCATCATGCTTTCGTCTAAAATCCTGTAGCGGCTGACAGTCGCACATTAAAATGTGTTTTGGACTGCGGGGATGAGGGGGAGGGGAGGGGAAGAGGGGAGGGGTGGGAAGTGCTGGGGCGCAACCAGGGCTGGGGATGAGGGGCTTTCCGGAAAAGCTTTTTTGGACCCCCAAACCGTGGGATGTTCCCCCTCATACCAAGAGTCCTGACTATAAGGATTACAGCACCCCCGATTATAATCCCTATCAAGGACTGTTAGTATAAGGAGTATATCCAACCTAAGCCCCTTAAACAAAACATTGTGTCCATGCCGAGGTCGTCAAGGATAAGGTCACCCAGCTGAAGCTTTCAGCTGAGGTCGGCGGTGGGATTCGGAGCTTCAGAGACCTAGAAAACAATGAGCACCCCTAACAAGAGGATCCACGAATCCTCAAAGAGATTAACTAGGTGTTCCGTTTTAGGGTTGCAGAACTACACAGTTGTTCGTGGGTTGTTGCGAAACCTCACTGTAGTCATCAAGCGATGTTTCATTCGTTAAGGCCTGCTGAAATTAGTTCAGTTCCAACAGTTGGGGTAGGCACCTCGGCATTGCCCGCTGCAACCTCTCAGGTGTCCCGCGAAACTAGATCGAATCATGGCCCCCGTTCAATAGTTTTTCCAAAGACAGCGACATACGATAGTCGGGACCTGGCACCACTACAATACCTGCGTTGACATGGAGGCACAAGAATGCTTCCAGTGCCCCGTCCACCGGCTGTGCTCCACTGCAGTGGGCGGGGCAGCTGTGACAACGGAAATGATTCGGGCGGCCGGTGGGAGACATTTGGAGTGCGTCAATGATGGCTTGCTACCCCTCCAAGCGGCTGCCCGCGGCAGCAGCACCGCACTTGTGCTGGCGCTGCTGGAGGGCGGTGCTTGTGTCAATGCGGTGGGGCCAAGTGGCCAGCCGGCACTGATGCACGCAGTGCGGTTTCCGACGACCGAGGCCGGCGGTATCATCACACTATTGCTAAGGGCCGGCGCGGACCGGACCGTGTCTGACAGGGAGGGTTGGACGCCTGAGAGAATGGTGGCCATGCTGGAAAGAATGGGGTCGCCCCTCGAGGTCCCAAAGTCCATCAAGGACTTTGTCACGCTGCCAATTCACACAGCATGTAGCGCCAAAGACATCACCGGACTGACAGAAGCACTAAAAGGGATGGATGGAACGCCATTTCCCGGAAATGCAGACGACTGGGCGAAGTCCAGCAGGGAGGCGCCCGGCTTCCTTGGCCAGACACCGCTGATGCTCTGTGCAAAGAATGGATGGCTGGATGGACTGGAGGAGCTCATTCGCAGCGGGGCGATGTTGGATGTTGGTGATCACCTTGGGCAGTCGGCCGTCTGGCATGCCGCTAGTGAGAACCACCCCCACATTGTCACCGCACTGATCGATGCCGGCGCCGACTTCTCAGGGCCAGACACCGCCGAGAACTGCTCGCCTCTGGATCGATCGGTATTCAAGCAGGCACTGGACGCCAGCAATGTACTCGTGGATGCTGGCGCGGCTCGGGGGGGCGCGGGCCAGGCGCTCATATGGGCGGTCCGGGGCGGGGGTGGGTTTCAGCCCAGGGGTGATGGATCGCTCAAGGCCGGTTTCAAGGAGCTGTTTATCAAGATGCTGGATGCGAAGGCGGATGTGAACTACATGGACGGTGAGGGTGCATCGCCTCTCTGTCACGCCATCATGCTGGGGTGCGATGAAGCCACCACCAGGCTGCTGACCGCCGGGGCGAGCCCCCATCCACTGCCCGGCCAGCGGCGCAGCGCGTTCTTCGAAGCTTGTGACGGCAAGAACGTCTTTGCAGTGCGTTTGTTGCTGGAGAAAAGTGCGGAAGTGAGCGACCGCCGGCCTGACGGGAGTCGTGGCAGCGACAGTCTTCTCAATATTGCGGCTGGGAATCTCGCAATAACGAGGATGCTGCTGGATGCAGGCGCGGATGTTCATGATGGGATGGATGGTGAGGAGGCCTGCAGCCCGCTTGATGTGTGGGCCAGCTCCTCTAATGCCGTGGAAGGGATGTCACTCATGATCGAGAAAGGCGCCGACGTGAATACTCGCAGTCGTGATGAAGGAAGGACCCCACTCTTCGCCGCGGTGTTGAGAGGAGACAAGGAGGCCGTCGCCCTCTTGCTGGATGCAGGTGCAGATGTCAACGCCTCTGACAATGCCGGGTTCCGCGCTTTGATTTGGGCTGCCGAGTTTGGATATTTGGACATCCTGGCGCTGATGGTTGAACGCGGGGGCGATCTCCGCAGCACGGACGGTCAGGGCCGCACGGCACTGGATCGCGCCGCTGATCGCGGCAAGTCGGATGTTGTCGCTTGGATTCGGGGTCGCTTGGAGGGAACCTCCAAGGCCTCTGACTGAAGAGCTTCTCTTATGCCCCAGGGCTTTTTCCTGAGACTGAGTCACCACTTCCTGGTAGGCGTTAACATGTCCCTCGGCATGAGTCACTCCAGCGGTTGCTGTCTTGACGTTCAGTCTGTAGCTGCCTTATGCTGCCTTGACGTTCTCCGTAGCTGCCTTGATGTTCTCTGTAGCTGCATCTACAGCTGTTTGTCCAGGTCCGCCCGTTCCGTTTTCAGTTTTGGCTTCCTTAAGCTTGGTCTCAGCCTTCTCCAGCTCCTCCTTTGCCTCCCTGAGCGCATTCTTGGCCAGCACTTGCTCCTCTAGCCTTCTTGGTGAATGAAGTTCCTTTTTAAGTTCTACTCCCTCCACAGTTAGTTCGGTTGCGCACTTATTGGTCAAAGAACGGAAAATGCCAGGAACGGTGCATCTTGCACAAATCTTTCCTGGCCAGGGTTCGGTTTTGCTGCGCCCGGAACTTTCGAGTCCGCCTGGGGGTTTAGGGCTTAGAGGGCTTTCGAGCTGAGCCCCATGGTGGGAAGGTGAGACCGGATTCTTCGAAAGTGCAGCGTTCGCGAACGACGGGTGCGGCACTCGATCGGATAGGAAGCAGGCCTGGACAGATGCGGGGAGGCTTGCCGTGTGGGATTGGTAAAGAAAGCCTCGTTCTTAGCAACAAGCTCAGTTAGGCTCAGCGGCAGCATCTTAGAAACCCTCAGCCCTGCACGGTACAAGCCCTGAATCCTAAGCCCCAAACCTTAGAGGCCTCGGCCCTTAGGTTTAAGCCCAGGCCCGACACCCCACGCCCCTACATCCTGAAAGCTAAGCTGCACCACAGACAATACCCAAGGCCTTGCGGCTTACGAGTTTAGAGCGTAGGGCTTACCCAGCTCTTTCCATCTGAGAAGAACGCGGGGCCGCTTAAACAACCCCTCTTAGTCTATCTCTTGTCACCGGACTCTCATTTGTCATCTTGTGTTAGGAACGGTTTTTTGAGCACTAGTTAGTTTGACACGACTGAGCCGTTTAGGGCCTAAGCATTATCCCCAACACCTACGGTAGGACTTCCCACGGTGCCGTTCTTCCCTTACAAGGGGCAGACTGGCTCCCTCGTCTCTCATAAGCCGTTGAACCAAACGGTAGACCATGTTTCGTTCCGAGGCGTGCTGCACATCGACATGCCACTACTGCAGCCGCGTCAGGCCCTCCTCCCGACTGACCGTTGCAACAAGCAGTTTGGACTCGTTGGTTCGGATCGCGGCGGGTAATTCCCTCAATAGGGGTACCCTATTATATACCCCAACATATCATAACCTGTTTACCCCAAAAGGGCACCCCCCCACCCTATTTTCGGAAACCCGCAGGTGTATTTACCGGGTTCTCTGCTTCCAGTGATTCTAGTGTAACGCTGTGGGGTTTTGGGCTTGAGGCTCCTCTCTAGAATGCAGAGTGTAGTCACATTCGCCCAACATGCAGACCCCTAAGCCCTAAGTCCTGAACCACAAACCCCAAACCGGACACTAAGACCTTCAGCCCAACAGGTTTAGGGTCTAGGGTTTAGAGACCCCCAAATCTTCCAGAGCCCTCAGCACCCGAACTCCAAACCCCTGAGCCCTACCCCGATTGCCCTCGACCCCTTAAACCTGAACGGAAGCCCCTGTGTCCCAAACCCTGAAGAGCCCTTTAAGGAAAACCCCACAGCCTCCAAGCCTTGAACCTTAGACCGAAAGCCGTAACCCCTAAGCCCTGTAACCCCCAAAAGCCCCACACCCAAAACCTCCAGAACTCCCATAAACTCCCCTTAGCTCCCAAAAGCCCCCAAAACCCCCAAAAGCCCCGCAAGACTCCTAACCCTAAACCCTAAACCCTAAACCCCAAACGCTAAACCCTAAACCCTAAACCCTAAACCCTAAACCCTAAACCCTAAACCCTAAACCCTAAACCCTAAACCCTAAACCCTAAACCCTAAACCCTAAACCCAAACCCCTAAACCCAAAACCCTAAACCCTAAACCCTAAACCCTAAACCCTAAACCCTAAACCCTAAACCCTAAACCCTAAACCCTAAACCCTAAACCCTAAACCCTAAACCCTAAACCCTAAACCCTAAACCCTAAACCCTAAACCCTAAACCCTAAACGCCCCCCCACAGCAGGCAAGGGATCCGAAGGCTCCCGCGCAGCCCGAGCTCGAGCCGCTGAAGCCGGCGACGGCCCCTCTCCTGGGGCCTTTTTTGGGCGTTTGGGGTTTAGGGTTTGGGGTTTAGGGTTTAGGGTTTAGGGGTATCGTGGGACTGGGGAGGTTGGACCAGCTTTTTTGGGTTGACAGTTGTCATCGTCGTTTGTCGGGCGTTTCTTGGCACACCTCCCGACTCTACTTCAAACACAGTCAGGAGGTAGTGGTTAACTAGCTGACTCTTGCTTCAAGCTGTCAAAGGCTCGAGCTAGAGTTGTCCAAAGCCCACGGTAAGTGGAACATCATCCAGAAGATACCCCGCCTCGAAAGTTTGCCCGAACAGAAGAATCTTCACACCTGTCGCCGTGAAGTCATGAAGCTCCGCAGCTCAAGCTACGACGAGAATGCCAACCTCAATGTAGGTTTCAACCCTAAACCTCCAAACCCTAAACCTCTAAACCCCAACTGCAAACCCTAATCCTCTACACCCTCAACTGCAAACCCTAAACCTCTGCACCCTCAACTGCAAACCCTAAACCTCTAAACCCTAAACCCTCAACTGCAAACCCGAAACCTCTGTCAACCTTAAGCCCCTAAACCTTCAACCTCTAAACCCCCCAAAACCTTCCTTCACAGTCCGCACCCCCCAATCTCCTTCCACAGGAGCCAACTCCGGCAAGGGCGGGCCGGGGAGGCTACCTGCCCGGCCCGGGTCTCAGTCGCAAGCACGGAGCCCGCTGCGAAAGAGGGCTTCAGTCTCAGGTTCAGGGCTTAGGGGTTAGGGTTTAGGGCTTGGGGTTTAGGGTTTAGGGTTAGGGTTCAGGGTTTAGGGTGTAACTTTTAAAGCATGGTGGTGGAAGAGGCGGTCTGCCTTCGTGAGGCGGTGATTGTTTGCGGCACTGTGCAGGCGAGCATGTGAGTTGCATTCATGTCCAAATGCGTTTGCTTAATCATAGGGGTTGGAGTAATTACTATGGTCCCTATATAATCGCACTATACCCACCCCCCCCAAACCCCCATTCCAATTCTGAAGGCCCCTCAGTGCAAGCCAAAAAGAACTTGAAAGACTCATCCACTGCCACCGACTCCCAGGCGATACAGAGGGGCAGAAGTCGAAGACGGTCTCCATCCAAGGCGCTTCCTCAACCAGGATCCCCCCAGAGGTACCAATTCTTGGAATTTTGGGCTTTAGAGCTCAGGGCATGGGATGTTCTTCTACTCGTAGCGGTTCAGGGTTCCGCCGTGTTGAGGAATGTGGGGCTTCAGGTTAGCAGGCATGCAGCCACGCCGAGGGGCTTGTGGTGCATTGGCTTGTGGTCGTCTGCTTGATTTTCCGGCCACGGCTAGGGAACTTCATACGCAACAGCTTACCAGCTTAGCATCGGGGTTTGCGGTCGCAGGCCTTCAAGCGGATGGACGTAGCGTTTGTGGGACTAACCGTCAAGTGGCAAACCGAGTCGTCGTTTGCAAGCATTATAACTTTTAACTGTTAGACCTTTGTGGAAAGAGCGCATGTGTTGGTTGGAAGCAAGCAACGCCTGACCTTATTGATTGACGACCCTACATCAAGCAGGAAGAATAGTGACAATGCAGGTGATCAGCGAAATAAATTTATCCCAGTTGCTTTCCGCAACAGCTACCCGCACCGGAAATCTGGTCGGAGGGAAACTACTTGGTTACACGGACGAAGCTTGTTGAAAGATGACTCCTGCTTATTCTTCTGTCGCCCCGGCCTGTTTCAGAAGAACTCTCCCGCAAGGCATCTACCAAGACCCTCGCCGGGTGGCCCCGAAGAAACCCGCCTGGGCCTCGCCGGTCGACGTCCACTCTATAGGCCCCTAAGCTCCGAACCTTTCAACAGAGGTAGGCTTGAACATAGTCTTATTTTGCCCTTAATCCCCTACATAATCCGTATAAAGCCACACATCGATTTTATAGGGCCCCCCGAACCTACCCCAGTCAAGCTGATGCCACATGAAGGAAAGTTTTGGGGTTTAGGGCTTAGGTCGGCTTGTTGGGATGCGTGGCTGCAGCTTGGTGACTTGGTGTTTGAACGCTTGTTTGGATCCTCAGGGGGCCGGTGCAGGGAGTCGGATGGAGTGTCATGGCCCTTTACCCAGAAAGTGCGGCTGCGATGATTTGCCTAACCATGCGGTTGCGTTGCCCATGGCTCTGCTCCTTGGGGAACAGAGCATCCGCATACAAGGGCTGAAAGGTAGCAAGCACTGCGACCTCTCAGCAACCCAAAGCGATGCTGCTACACCATACCCGATTCGTTTTCTAGGCGGCATTATCCTGCATCTTGAGAGACCTCGAGTTTGAACAACCAGCGCCAATGGCAACCAGCAGGATGGAAAGAGGCCCCCCCTCAGAACAGAGGAAGCTTGGCCCGCTTCAACCCCCAAAACCCCAGGCCCTAAACCCCTGAAACCCCATGAACACAACCCCCTGAAACTCAAGCCTAAGGATTCCCTCATGAGGGAGGTCAAGACCACGCGCGCGCCGCACGTGGCCTCACAAGCGGAGGAGGGATGGGGCGCATCATCAGGTTGGGGCCCGGGTTTTGGGAGCCCCTTTGGTCCGCGCCTCGAGCTACCCTAAACCCTAAACCCTAAACCCTGAACCCTAAACCCTAAACCCTAAACCCTAAACCCTAAACCCTAAACCCTAAACCCTTTTGAAGCAAACGGGGTGACGGCAGAGAGCGAGTGAAGAGGCCCAAGTACGGACACCTTCACGCCCTATCCCTCCCGCACCCAAACGCTTCCAGGCCCCAAGCTTCAGACCTTAAAACCCTGAAAGGGTTTAGGGTTTAGGGTTTAGGGTTCCTTGCCCGTTTTCTTGAATGTGGGCCTCTCTACAAGAAGTAACCCGCATACCAGAGCTCTAAATCTGCAGATATCTTTTGGGTCTAAGGCTTAAGGTGCTGTCTCGACAGTTTTGGGTGCCTGGGGTCGAGCAATCAGAGCCACAAACCCATGCACCTGGAAACCTGGAGCCGCCTCTCTAGCTCAAGTTTTGGGGCTCCAGGGTGCTTAGGGTTTAGGGTTTCGGGTTTAGGTTTTAGGGTTTAGGGTAGCTCTGCAAACGAGGACGACGACGACGACGATGACGTCCCACCTCTGGAAGCCCGTAGATAGGCCTTCAACCCAAACCCTAAACCCCAAGCCCCAAACCCTAACCCCTAACCCCTAAACCCTAAGACCCTGAACCCCAAGCCCCAAACCCCAAACCCTAAACCCCAAGCCCCAAACCCTAACCCCTAACCCCTAAACCCCAAGACCCTAAACCCTAAGACCCTGAACCCCCCCAAACCCCAAACCCTAAACCCCAAGCCCCAAACCCTAACCCTAAATCCCGAGCCCCAAACCCTAACCCTAACCCTGAAACCCTAACCCTGACCCCCAAAACCCTGAACCCTCCTGCAGTTCTTTGTGCGAAGAGCTCCGGCATGGGGTAAACTAAGCCAAGGCCGGCAGTGCCACCCTTACATCCTTTTTCTTTAGGGTTTAGGGTTTAGGGTTGAGGGTTGAGGGTTGAGGGTTGAGGGTTGAGGGTTGAGGGTTGAGGGTTGAGGGTTGAGGGTTTGGGTCCTTTATCTTTTCCTTGCAGGGTGGGGGGGGGGGGTGGGTTGACTCATTCCCAGAATAGGTGAGGACCCCAGAATGTCGAACCCAAGCACATCTTCGCTGCAGTACAAGCTACGGCAACAACAGCTACTTGAACAGCCGCCTACTTTCTCTCGGAACGCGCCGGAGTCTTCGAATGCATGTTCATACCTGCTTAGTAGTCCACAACGCAAAAGGGCCTCAGCAACTCAAACGGCTGACCCGATCATCGATCGTCCCAGCCCCAACATGTAAGCCGTGCTCCGATTGTTGAGGCCCGGATATTGTGCGTCTCACCTGGGGATGCAAAAAATGCAGCACCAGATGCATGACCGCCAAGCATGAAAAAGGGATGATTGCACTTGGTCGGTGACGCTCGACATCGTCGCCAGAGCCCTAAACAGAGGGCCCCCACGCTCTCAGACCCAAAGCCGTGGTTTCCGTATCTGGCGTTCAACAAGTGAGGTGTAAGGAGAAGAGGGGCTTCTGCCAACACGCCAAAACTGGTGCAGCGTAGGCCAACACAGTGCGCACGCAAGATTATTTAATGGCTACCGCCAGTGCCGCCGACCCCAAAACGGCACGGGGTTAAGGGTTTAGGGTTTAGGGCTCAGGGCATAGGGTTGAGTCGACCGTCTGGTCGTGTAGGGTTTAGGGTTTAGGGCTCAGGGTATAGGGTTGAGTCGACCGTCTGGTCGCGTCGGGTTTTAAAGTCGACTGTCTGGTCGCTTAGGGTTGAGGGTTGAGGGTTTAGGGTTCAGGGCTCAGGGTTTAGGGTTCAGGGTTTAGGGGTCACGTCGACCGTTTGGTCGCTTGTGGTTTTGACGTCGACCGTCTGGTCGCTCTAGGGTTTAGGGCTCAATCGGGTGCCGCGGTTTACGGGTTTGGGGGGTTGCTACAGAAACTGGAACAAGGCATCGCCAAAGTTAACCTTTTTTTTGTTAGTTTTCTGAGAAAAAGTAGGGCAAAAGTAGGAAAAACTTAGGCAAACCCAGGAAAACGAGCCATGCTGTCCGTAGCTGAGGTTTTCGTGTATTTTTCTTGATGGTATTTTTCCAAGGACAAAGAGGGAAAAATATAGAACAAAAAACAAGCCCAGGAAAACGAGCCCAGCATTCTCGCTTCGCAGGGTGTCCGACAGTCTGATTGTTTAGGTAATTGTTTCGCAAGTTTTACAAATTTGTAGGAGTGCTTCCGCCTCGTCTTCATTTCTTGTCTTTCCTATTGGTCACCTATTTGTGCCATTTTTGGCAACTTATTTCCGAGATAGTCTCGGCAATCGAAGTATAGTCGTTCCATTTCTGCGCAAAACTTATTTCATGTTGTCCGTGCTTTCCAGTATAGGAACGTCGCAAGGTTTGGTGTTTTTTTTTTTTTTTGTGTGTGTGTGTGTGTGTGTGTGTGTGGGAATTCCCTGCTGGAAAACAAGCGAAGAAAGTTAAGAACTAAACATCTCGAGGGACTGTTTTTAAAAGCTGTTCCGAGGGACAACTTAAAACTCAGCTTAGGGCCTAGGGCCGCTGGGGCCATGAAGCCATGGGGCCAGAGGGCCGGGCGGAGAGGGCGGGGGGAGCGGGCATGCAGTGGAGCCCTTAAAACTCAGCTTAGCCATGGGGGTAGGGCCCTGGATTGCTGGGGCCATGAAGCCATGGGGCCAGGAGCAACTTAGAGCCTATGGCACCGTGGGGGTGAGCCCTAGCCATGGGGCCAGAGGGCCAGTCCGGGAAAGTGGAGGAAGAGCCCTTAAAACTCAGCTTAGGGCCGCTGGGGCCATGAAGCCATGGGGCCAGAGGGCCATGGCGGAGTGGGCGGTGAGGGTGGGGGGAGTGGAGGAAGCGGGCATGCACTGGCCTGAGGGCCATGGGGAGCGGTCGGAGTGGGGTGAGAGGGCGGGGGGAGTGGAGGAAGCGGGCATGCACTGGAGCCCATGCGCTGGAGCCCTTGAAACGCTGGGCTGAGACCCTATGGTAGAAGGCTGGGGCCATGGGACCATGGGGGTAGGGGCCTGGGGCGCTGGGGCCATGAAGCCATAGAACCAGAAACAACTTAGGGCCTATGGCAGAAGGCTGGGCCATGGGACCATGGGGGTGAGCCCTAGCCATGGGGCCAGAGGGTCGGAGGAGAAGGCGGGGGGAGTGGAGGAAGCGGGCATGCACTGGAGCCCTTAAAACTAGGGCCTATGGTAGAAGGCTGGGGCCATGGGACCATGGGGGTAGCATCCTGGCCCCAGCGCCAGCACCATGAAGCCATGGGGCCAGGAGCAACTTAGGGCCTATGGCAGAAGGCTGGTGGGCGTGAAGCGGTCGGAGTGGGCGGAGTTAGGGCCTATGGCAGAAGGCTGGGGGGTGAGCCCTAAAACTCAGCTTGGGTATGGTGAAGGCTGGGGCCATGGACCTGGGGGTAGGCCCTGGGCCGCTGGGGCCATGAAGCCATGAGGCCAGACGGCCATGAGGAGCGGTCGGAGTGGAGGAAGCGGAGCCCTTAAAACTCAGCTTAGGGCCTATGCTAGTGCCATGGGACCATGGGGGTAGGGCCCTGGGGCGCTGGGGCCATGAGAGCGGTCGGGGGGAGTGGAGGAAGCGGAGCCCTTAAAACGGCTAATGCTACTATTATATGTGCCCGCAGAATTCAATATTATTATAATAATTCCGGGGCATTAAGTAGTATTATTATTAGCCCCGGGTTTCGTACTTCGTTCATAATTTTAATATAATTCACGCGTCCTTTTAGTCCTTGTAATTACAATAATATTATTCTCTGGTTTCGTTCAATCGCGCGTACAATTTAATAATGCAATCGTGCACGAGTTTACATTTCATATTAAATTTACGCACTCATTCTCTTCACTTTATTAATAGTATTCTCACGGCCCCCACAGTATTAGTATTATTTCAGCTTAGGGCCTATGCTAGTGCCATGGGACCATGGGGGTAGGGCCCTGGGGCGCTGGGGCCATGAAGCCATGGGGCCAGAGGGTTGGAGGGGGAAGTGGAGCAAGTGGGCATGCACGGAGCCCTTAAAACTCAGCTTAGGGCCTATGGTAGAAGGCTGGGGCCATGGGACCATGGGGGAATGGCGGGGTGGGTGGGGGTGGGGGGTGGGGGTGGGAGCGGCAAGCCTGTCATAGATGAGGTGGAAGGTCTAACAAGCAGTGGGTCTTCACTGACGCCGCCCCCGGCTGGGGTCGGCGGAAAAAGGCAGACGCCGCGCGGAAGCAAACCCAAGCTGCTTTTTCATTTCCTGCAGAGGGCGACCCCAACTCCCCTGAGCAGGCCCTAAACCCTAAACCCTAAACCCTAAACCCTCAACCCTCAACCCTCAACCCTCAACCCTCAACCCTCAACCCTCAACCCTAAACCCTAAACCCTCAGGTTTCAATCCGAGGTTGCGGCTCGCAGCAAGTGGAAAGTTCCCGACGGGGCGGGTGGATGTCCGGATCGCCTCCACGCGCCCATGGTCGGGAGCCCCTGGGGGCAGGGGGGCATCTTCAACTCCGCCCTTTTGGGGGGCGGGGGTGGGGTGGGGCCGCCATGCGGGCCCCCAAAAGTGACCACAATCTAGGGGGACTGGCCCTGTGACGTTCTTGGAAGGTGCTTTAGAGACTAGTTCAACATCCTGCCTGCGACCCGACGGGAGAGGAGCAGACTTGGATGAAACTCCAGAAGTTTTGAGCAACAGCATCTCCCCTCTACTACGCCCTGAGCCCGAAAGTCCTGAGCCCGTCTAAATTGCCTTGCGACGGCGACGCGCGCAAGGGCCCATCTACTCGGGGGTGTTGGGCAAAGCGCTGGGTGCTTTAAGGCTTCTTTAGTTCTAGAGCCTTATAAAGGAGGGTTAGGGTTTAGGATTAGGGCTTAGGGTTTAGGGTTTAGGGTTCAAGGTTTAGGGTCTCAGAAAGGGACGAGGGTTTAGGATTTCAGACTTCCAGGGCCTTCAAGCCGCAGGTCTTTTGGGTGTAAGCTTGAAGCCTCGTACCTTCAAACCCTTCATGGGGCCCTTAGACGAAGGTGAAAGTAGGGCGAACTGTACAGCCCTTCGCGTCCCTAAACTTCTTTTTTGGGGATTAGGGTAGTTCTTTTTTTTTTGGGAGGGGGGGGGGGTATATGGCGATGTGGTATGCTGAAGATTGTTTCAGAACAGGGTTCCACGGATCCTGAAAAAAAATCCTCCGAAAGTCCTTAAGACTCCCGAAGCCCTTAAACCCTAAGCCCTAAAACCTAAACCCTAAACCCTAAACCCTAAACCCTAAGCCTAAACCCTAAACCCGGATCGAAGGCTGAAAGAAAGGGCCAGCAGATGTCTCCCGAAGAGGCGCGACTCAGCCTCCCCAATTTCTATGGTGGGGCCTGCCGGGTCAATTTTTTGGGGGTTTGGTTTTTTTGGGAGTTCGGGTTCAGGGTTTTGGGGTTGTTTTTTCGGGGTTCGGGACCCGTGCTTCTGATGCTCAAGATGCATCGCCTGCCATCCGAGACGGGTTTGTGATGCTGACGCCTGTGGAAGCCGTAAGCCAACGCAATGAGGGGTTGTAAGGATTCACTGCTTTCTCAAGGGCGGGGCCTAAAGCATCCTACTGGTGCTTGCAATCGGGTGCCCTCATTGCCGGTCTGTATGTGCAGACGTATACACCTATACGTGTTGCTAGGCCCGAAGCCCCCAGAAAGACGCCAGACTCCTCTTAGGGCTCACCATATTGTTCAGGGTTTTGGGTCCTCAGGAAGGTGAGAAGCCCAACCCTCTCTTCAACTCGTGCGTCAGGTGCGCCGAAAGTGGGATGAGCTCCTCGCGGTCATCAACAACGTGGCCACAACGGCAGGCGCTGGGTGGACCCTGGGACTGGGACTGGGTTTCCTTTCCGATTTTGGATGGGCGGCCCTTTGCTTCTGTGGGAGGGCTGAACACAAAGCACCAAAGTCCAGAAACCTTCGTAGTGAATACTTGGTCCCCAAAGAAGAAAAGCTGCTGGGCCCCCTTTCCTCCCCCAACGAAGGCGAGCTTATGAGATGTACCGTGGCCCCCCCTACATGGAAGGGGCCATCCCACCCAAAGGTCCCTGAGGGAGGTGATGCCTGGCACGTCAGACACCCCGGGCCCGCGAAGCACTACAACCTTAAGCCTTGACTTTAGCAAACCCTGGCACTGATCCTTGGTAACGTCTCATGAAAGAGTGCAAGGCTGCGCACATACTCAGGAGAGAGCGTGGAAGAGTGCACATCCCGGTTCGACCGCTTTCTGTGCCGCTTCCCCAAGCCGCTCAATGCGTCTCACAGCAGTCCTAAGACTGAACTAAGGCTGAATGAAAGTGGCCTCAAAAGCCAACAAAAGCAGTCAACCCCCAAAGTCAACCTCCACACCCCCTAGGCCCTGGGCCTCAGCCCATACCTTCAGAGGTGACGTGCCGGATGTCTCGGCGCCCGCCAGCCCGAGCGGCTCAGGCGCAAGCCCGGGTTGGGTTCAGGGACCGGGTCTTGGCAGCTTCGGAGTCTAGGACTTAGGGGTCTGGAGCACTGAGCCCTAAAGGGACTTTAATAGGAAACCCCCAAAAGGAAACCCCCAAGAACCATAGTAGGAACAGAACCGCAACATACCTACCAGGGTCCTTATGTTCCCTTTACACTCGTACTATATTCTCGGGGATCCCCAAACCCTACATGGCCCTACACCCTTAAGACCCCAAACCCCAAACCCCAAACCCTAAACCCCGAAACACCCAAAAGCAGGAGGCCACCGGCAACGCGGTCAGCTGAAGGCGGCTCGAGATTTGATGGAGTCTGGCCCTCGGTCCCTGGGTGTGTTGATAAACTCCTAAAGCCCTAAAGCTCTAAACTCTGTAGACTCTGGACCCTAACCCGAAGCCCTTTGAACACCCCGAGGCCTTTCTCATGAACAAATCCCTAGGCAAGCCCTAAACCCTACACCCTAAACCCTAAACCCTAAACCCTTTTGAAAGTCCTTTTTGGGCCCCAGCTTGAGTAGCTAAAGCACCGGCTCGCGGCTGGCGAGCATCAAGGGCGGTTCAGGTGCAGGCTTTCCTGTTCCAAGGTCGAGCCAGCCATCTCCAAAGCGCGAGAAGCTGGGCAGCGATGGGCTTTTGGCTTTGTAGGGCTTAGGGTTCGGGAGTTTCGGGTCGGGGGCGGGGCTTGAGGTTTCAGGGCATTTGGCGTTCAGACGTCTTCGGAAGCCTGGCCCTCAACCCTTCAATTCCCGAACCCTATAGACCCTGAACCGAGCTTCCGAACCCTGAAGCCTTTAACCCTGGCATGACCGCGAACTCCCCGGGCTGAAGACGCCCTACGAGCAACATGCCAATCAATTGGGACCCTAAACCCTAAACCCTAAACCCTAAACCCTAAACCCTAAACCCTAAACCCTAAACCCTAAACCCTAAACCCTAAACCCTAAACCCTAAACCCTAAACCCTAAACCCTAAACCCTAAACCCTAAAACCTAAACCCCCTAAACCCTAAACCCTAGACCTAGACCCTAGACCCTAGACCCTAGACCCTAGACCCTAGACCCTAACCCTAGACCCTAACCCTAAACCCTAAACCCTAAACCCTAAACCTAAACCCTAAACCCTAACCCTAAACCCTAAACCCTAAACCCTAAACCCTAAACCCTAAACCCTAAACCCTAAACCCTAAACCCTAAACCCTAAACCCTAAACCCTAACCCTAAGCCGCATTTTTGTGCGCCCAGGAAGATGTCTGCCCTGGACGACCAGCATTCCCCGCCACTGGAGCTGCAGAGCGGGGTTGGAGAGGGGGCTCTTCTGGGCCTGGGGCCATTGGGCTCCGCAGATGTACCCCCTTCCCCTAAATCGTTCAAAACCTCCTGTAGAAGAGACCGGCATTATAGGGGGGAGTTTAAGGTACCTTGAGCCCCCTCAGTTCTTCAGGTCTGCGGCCTAAAGTTTGGTAAAGTGTAGAGTTTACGGCTTCAGGGCTTTGACGTTGCGAAAGAGAGAGTCAGAGTCAATGAGTTTTCTTGTGTGACATGCAATGAAATGGTTGTGCTTTGAAGTTTAGAACTTCAAAGTATCGAGATTCGGAAGCACGACGTTCTGAGCCCCACACACCCCAATCTCCTAAACCCTACAAACCCTAAACCCTAAACCCTAAACCCTAAACCCTAAACCCTAAACCCTTAACCCTAAACCCTAAACCCTAAACCCCCCCAAGCAACCCAAACCCTAACCCCCCCCACAAAACCCTAAACCCTAAACCCTAAACCCTAAACCCTAAACCCGAAACCCGAAACCCGAAACCCTACATATTCCCGAAATCTAGGCCTAAAACCGAAGCTGCGAGCCTGGTGGCCGAGGGAGTTCTCAGGGGAGAAGCTGCAGAGAGGCGCGGCGCCGGGGGCTCAGTGCGGCGCAGGCGCTCGGGGGGGGGGGGGGTTTAGGGTTTAGGGTTGAGGGTTGAGGTTTTTAGGGTTTTTAGGCTTTAGGGTTTAGGTTTTAGGGGTGGGAAGGGGCGCCTGTGTGGGCGCTCCATAGTAGGTTTGGGATGTTTAGGGTATAATAGGAACTCCCCAGCATCCTTAAGCCAGAGCCTCCTTGTCATGAGGTCCACTGGGAACCTGTCCCCAAAGAGGGGACAGGGCCGACCACAATGGGACGACAGGCCAGGTTTGGAACGGGGAAGGCCTTGCGCTTCGAGGGTTCAAGGTACAGGGCAGAAGCTATGGCTGAGAGGTTGTCAGGTTTGTGCCGAAAGTTGAAAGATTTGAGGACGAAAAGGTTTTGCCGCATGCTGGAGGGTCGGTGCATGGCCGACGGTGGGATGGTATGCCCTTCTCTGGTGAAATCGCGCCCGTTTTCGACTTTGCTCCATGCTCGAGTAGAAACCGCCAGCGGGGCCTGTCAGGCTTCCTGGACCTTGGTTCAATGACTGAAAGCTTCAGCATATGCTCTGTATACATGGGTTCTTGAGGGCCGTGCAATCACGTAGAGAGAGAGCCCTGGGTTCTTGCAGAGCTAGTTGCAGAGACTCGGCTTGAACTTCAACCACGATGCTAAAGGCTTGTGTCGGGCCCGGCTGGAAGCCATGACGTGCGCAGAGGCATCACCTGCTCTACTCCACGGTCAATGACAAGATGCAGAAGAATGTTAGGCGTGCCAGCTGCGTTGCTTAGGGGGCACGTTGTCTTGACATTCCCAGCTTGTTCAAGTCCATAGTTGTAATCTGCAGCCAACTCCCAACCTCAGCCCTGGGCCCAAAACCCCCGGGACCCAAAACCCCCGGGACCCAAAACCCCAAACCCGAAACCTAAACCCTAAACCCTAAATCTGAAATATAAACCCTAAACCCTAAACCCTGAACCCTAAACCCTGAGGTCTTATTTCGACCGGCCGCGGGACATCGATGCCCACGGCCAGCGCTACGACCATCCGCTGAGGAGGGGATTGGGACGGGCCAGGGCTTGAGCCGGGGTGGGGGGTGGTTTCGAACAACTGTGGGGTTTCGGGCTTAGGTTATGTATGTATATAATCTGATACATGCACATGTACCCAGAGCTTCGGACCATAACTTAGGATCTAAGGTAGGCGCCGAAGGGAGGCCCTTTGTGATGATCGCCCCAAACACTAAACCCCGAGGCTCGACACAGTAAGACCTAAAGCCCCCAAACCCCCAAAGCCCTAAGCCCTAGATCCTAGAAGCCTCGGAGCCTGCCCTGATGAGCCCTACATCCCTGAGCCTTGAGCCCCAAGCCCTAGAAACCCCTGAGTCTGAGACCCTGAAGACCCCTAAACACCCTAATCCCTAGAAACCTCTGGGCCTTAAACCGTAAATCCTAAACCCTAACCCTAAACCATAAGCCCTAAGCCCTAAGCCCTCAAGCCTAGACCCTAGACCCTAAACCCTAAACCCTAAACCCTAAACCCTAAACCCTAAACAAGAAACCTTAAACCCTAAACCCTAAACCCTACCTCAGGACCACCTGGCAGCTCAACACTCCCATGGACGCACCGCCCCCTGGAGCTGCCGCTTGGGAGCCCAGACATCAGAGCTTCGGGGCTTTAGGGGATGAAATGGGGTTTAGGGTTTAGGGTTTAGGGTTTAGGGTTTAGGGTTTAGGGTTTAGGGTTTAGGGTTTAGGGTTTAGGGTTTAGGGTTTAGGGGATGAAGGGGGGTTTAGGGCTGCGGGCTTTAGGGGATGAAGTGGGTTTAGGGCTTGGGGGGCAAAGGGGGTTTAGGGTTTAATGGTGTTTAGGGTGTTTAGGGTTTGGGCTTTAGGGGATTAAGGTTAGGGCTGTAGGGTTCTTGGTTCAGGGTGTTTAGGGCTTTGAGGTTTTAGGGGCTTAGGGTGCTTAGGCTTTAGGGTTTCGGGAGTTTAAGGGCTTTGGGGGTTTAAGGTTTAGGGTTTAGGGTGTTTAGGGTTTTAGGGTGTTTAAGGTCTTGTGGGGGTTTAGAGCTTGAGGGACTTAGGGCTTTTGCGTTCCCTAAGCCCTATTGTGAGCGCTCCTAAACACAGGACCCTGATCCCGTGTCAGCACAAAGCAGAAGGTTTCGGTACTCTTTGTGCCTGCGGGGTCTCTTTGAAGTAGGCCTGGTGCAGGAACCTCATTGAAAGCGTCTGAGATCAGGGATGTCAGATGCCTTCTGACAGTCAGCATTTTGTCAACCCCCAACCCTCAGCCCAGCCAGATCGGTCTAGCAGCTGTTCAGTCGCCTTAGAACAGCAAGCCTAAACCTTCTGAACCTAAAGACAAGAGACCCTAAAGCACACTCAGCCCACACCCCCCAACCCCAAATCCCTTGAACAAGCTCCTGAACCATCATGGGGCATGCGTCCCCGATCCCCTGACGCAGACCCCCTAAAACCCCAAAGCTCCCCAAACCCCCAAACCTCCGTAAACCCGCCCAAAAACCCCCAGAGCCACCCCAAAACCCTCCGAAAGCCGCCTTGCAACCCCCTAAACCCTAAACCCTACACCCAAAACCCAAAACCCCAAACCCCAAACCCTGGAACCCTGAGATGGAGCTGTCCCCCATGTCCACGGCGAACTTCGACAAGTTGCTGAAGCTCTCAAGGCGGGAGCTCCAAGTTTCCCCAGACTCTGCAAGCTTGAAGCATGGGGTTTAGGGTTTAGGGTTTGGGGTTTAGGGTCTAGGGTTTAGGGTTTAGGGTTTAGGGTTTAGGGTTTTAGGGTTTTAGGGTTTTAGGGTTTTAGGGTTTTAGGGTTTTAGGGTTTTAGGGTTTTAGGGTTTTAGGGTTTTAGGGTTTTAGGGTTTTAGGGTTTTAGGGTTTTAGGGTTTTAGGGTTTTAGGGTTTTAGGGTTTTAGGGTTTTAGGGTTTTAGGGTTTTCGGGTTTTAGGGTTTGGGGGCTTGGGGGCTTGGGGTTCAGAGGGTGCGGGGCTAAATTTGCTGAGGTTCGCTCAGGATTCAGGGTGAGCAGGCGTTTGGGCCCAGGGTTGACAAGACTTGAGGAACGAAAGTTTAGGGAGCCAAGTGCGCCTGAATCGCCCTAGCCTTGAAGCCCTAAACCCCAAACTCTGGCCCTAAACCCTAAACCCCAAACAAAAATCTGGCAGTTTCCGACACTTGGGGTGCTTGCGGTCTTGTGGTTCAGGGCTTGGGGTTTTCGCGGCTTGGTGTTCAGGGGTCGGGGCACCAGCGGTTTTAGGGGGGTTTAGGAGGTTTTGGGTGGTTTTTACGGCTTTAGGGGTTTTAGCGTGTTTCCGAGTATTTTCAAGGGTTTTAGGGAGCCCTAGACCCTGGCGTGCGTACATATATACATATATATATATATATGACATATATATATATACACACATGTACAGTTTTTATAGGGTAGTTGGACTAGGCGTTCCTTCCCGGCACCCCTCCGAGTACAAGCACAGTCGGCTTGGGGATAGTACCGTATCTCCCCTATCTAGCCCCTGAAGAAGCCCTAAACCCTAAGCCCTAAACCCGATGTTGTAAACCCTAAGCCCTAAACCCTAAGCCCTCAGCCCAAAGCCCAAAGCCCAAAGCCCTAAGCCCTAAACCCTAAACCCTAATTCCGGCGTTCCTTGCTGAGAGCCAAGCCTCTGTGTCCCAGGAGCTATTCAGCCCCGAAGCTGACCCACTCGGAGCAGAAAGAGAAGAGGCGGGCACCTAAACCCTAAACTCCTACCCCTAACCCTAAACCCTAAGCCCTAAATCCTCTAAACCTAAAACCAATCACGAACCCCTTGCGGAAGCAGCCCCCAGGGTGTTGCCACGCTAGCAGGGGAGTATTCACGATTGGAGCTTCTGTGGAAGTGGAGTGGCTAATTATTCATTTCTCGAGAGGAGACCGCTGACCACTGGCGTTGCACTTAGGGTTTAGGGTTTAGGGCTTAGGGCTTAGGGTTTCAGGCTTCTCACGCACTTGCTTTCTTCCCTTCGGGCGCGTGCCAAAGTCGACATGCTTCTGGTATGGGCATTCATGGTGTTCTCTTCTGGGTCAAGTTGTGTTTAACCTTAGACATGAAAACCTACACCCTAAACCCTAAACCCTAAACCCTAAACCCTAAACCCCAAACCCTAAACCCTAAACCCTAAACCCTAAACCCTAAACCCTAAACCCTAAACCCTAAACCCTAAACCCTAAACCCTATACCCTATACCCTAAACCCCAAACCCCAAACCCCAAACCCTAAACCCTAAACCCTAAACCCTAAACCCTAAGCCCTAAACCCTAAACCCTAAACCCTTTTGCGCATCCAAGGATGCCTCTCAGCCCTTTGAAACCCTGCCCCCTCCCTCCCCCCACAACTCCTTCGGGAAGTCCACTCACTAGCTCGAGAGCAAACAGCGTTGTTTAGGGTTTAGGGTTTAGGGTTAGGGTTTAGGGTCTGGGGTCTAGGGTCGAGGGTCTAGGGTTTAGGGTTTGGGGTTTAGGGTTAAGGGTTCCTTGATCAGGACCCAGAGAAGGCGCCTTGTTCCCTTTTCTTAAGGTTTAAGCTTCCCTTGTGACCCAGGTTGCTCCTGGGTCTAGTTGACCGGAGAACAGCACACTGGATTTTTTTCGCAAGATGATTCCACCAGCTCGTCGCAGTCAGTTTTTGAAGCGCGACCCTAAGCCCGAGATCTCAAACCCTAAGCCCTACACCCAAAACCCTAAACCCTAAACCCTGAACCCTAAACCATCACGGCCCCAACTCTTGGCTTCCCATAGACTGAGTCCCCCATGCCGGGTAGCAGCAGCGGCAGCTCTGACTTGTATCGAGACCAGGTGGAACGCGCGCCACCATGTTTGTTTCGCCAAGGACGGGAAGGGAAGGATTTTGGGGATTTTCGGGTTTGGGGGCTGGCAAGTTCGTTTTGCTCATGATGCGTGAAAGTCGAACCTCGTGTTGACAAAACTTCAAGCGCTCATCTCCCTTAACTGAGGATGTGCAGTTGTTTCCCGGGGGTTCAGACCCTGGACCGCCCCTTAGACCCAGCCCCAACACAGTATCCCAAACCCCAGGCTCCAACAGCGAATTGAAACCCCTAAACCCGCCCAAGTGGCGCTAGAAGGGCTTTGGGATGGATACATCCCTTAGGGCCGCCCGTGTGGCTTCAGGGACTCAACTCGGGCTCCGGGATTTCGGGGGCAGCTGCTTTAGGGAGTAGCGGACGACGAGATCTAGGGTTTCGGGTTGCGGTCCAGGGTTTCGGGGTTCTGGGCGTTAGCATCTGCAAAAACAGTTTCATTTTTTGATTTATGCCGTGTCGTTCGCTTGTTGGCAAGAACCTGAATGCTTCCAGTGGTTTTGGAACCCTGAACCTTGAGGTTAAGCAATTAAGGATGACGACCTGAGATCCTCCCTAAAGTTGCATTAAAAGGGTCCATAGGAGCCTGTATGCAGGCAGCTGTCAGCCAGGGTCTAGTGCTTGGTGCACCGATGCCTTCCCAGAAGATGTGAGACTGCCACCCCTATTTCGGACGTCAGGACAACCACTACTTCCAAGCGAACCTGAGGGAGTACTTTGAGCGGCCCAGGCATCTACATGTCTAACTCGTCCCGATGCAGTTCACGAAATCCAAGCAAGGAACCCCAAAAATCACGGCCCTCCGTTGCCTGTATTGAGTTCAACGTCCGTACATATGGGGTTGACAGCCAGTAAGTGACCGACTAGCTAAATCCCGCGCCTTTCTAGGTAGCTTAGGGCGGGACATTTAGCAAACTTGCTGCGGAAGCGATACCTAGCCTTGAAGGCGATACCGCCGGATATCATAGGTTTGCTTGAGAAAGCGACACCTAACCCCAGAAGCAATATGAACGTTCATGCCCTCTAGGTTTTGCCTCGCGCTCAAGTCAAAGTCGCTCTTGCACTTCCCCGAGGTTAGAGCTTAGGGTTCATGGTGTATTTCTATGTATTTCTGTGTGCTTAATGGTTTAGGGCCCAGTTGGTAGGGTTGGATACGGGTTTCGTTTACCTTTTGCCGAGCACTCCCAAACAAGGCAAAAACCGGAGTTGTACCCTAAACCCCATGACTATATCCCCATTGGGAATTATTTTTCATGTTTGTTTTTGTAAAACCCAAGAGGATAACCAAAAACACTATTCTTATTAAGGTTCTAAGGGGAGTATAGATTATCCTAAGCATTCCACAGCAGCAACGAGTTGGACTTCTGTAGGGAGTCAGCTGCTGGGGGTGTGGAGCTCGTCACGTCAAGCCAGCGACGTCATGGGTTTCGAGCCCCGTTCTCACCATATCAATTTGGGTAGAACTTTTTCGTGTAAGGAACTGATCGCAGGATCCTCAGTTTCAAGTTGGGGCTAGCGAGAGAGAGAGAGAGAGAGAGGGAGAGAGAGAGAGAGAGAAAAACGAGAGAGAAAGAAAGAGAGAAAACAGAGAGAAAGAGAGAAAGAGATTGAGAGAGCGAGAAAGACAGAGCAAGAGAGAGAGAGAGAGAGAGAGAGAGAGAAAGAGAGAGAGAGAGAGAGCCCTCTTGGGGGCCTCTTCGCTGAGTAGAAGAAGAAGAGAGGACAAAGAAGATAAAGAGAGAAAGAGAGGTTTACAAGCAGAGCGAGAGCGAGAGAGAGAGAGAGAGAGCGAGAGCACGTGTTTCAAAGTTGCTTGAATTTCCCGGAACTTCACCGCCCCTCCAGCTGCCGACTCAGATGAAGCTTTGCTTTTCCACGAGACCGTGGAGTGATTATATAGGTCTCACGGCTGTGCACTTGCTGAGCAAGCGGCACCGACAAGTTGGGTGAACCCGAAATCAAAACCTGCAACCCTAAGCCCAAGCCGCCTGTCCCCAATCTGAACCCCGAACCCTAAACTTAAGTTTAAGACCCCTAAGCCCGGTGATGCTTCCTTCATCAGGACGTCAAGAGATGTTGAGGGATTTGGGGTTGGGAGGCGCTGGAGAAGTTTCAAACCAAGTCGTTGGCGGTTGTCCACAAATGCTAAGAACCAGATCAAGTTTAGATTCAGAGCGAACATTATGCATGTGTAATTTATATATATATATAGATACACATATTCAATCAGTCATTATGAATTTAGCAAAAGATGAGTACACGTGTGAATATTGTACGGCAAAGGAACCCGAGCTGTTCGGTGCTCCGGTACCATAGCCCCGGAGCAGAACTCACTAGAGCTTACCCATGTTTTTAAGTATCGTTGGCCCAAACCCTAAACCCTAAACCCTAAACCCTAAACCTTAAACCCTAAACCCTAAACCCTAAACCCTAAACTCTCAACCTTGACAATGATGTGGATGATTCAGGTCGTACGTAGTTTTGGTTTTAATGCTGCCGTTGAAGAAGCACAACGAGCCATATGTTCTGCTAAAGCAGAAGGTGCTCGTAGTAACACTTCATGATGAACGGCGGTATTAGCTGTATGCCATGCATATCATACATGCAAGCGTACATACACAAGTACATGAGAAATCAAACGTGCTCCTACTTGTAGGACTTAGTGGGCGTGTAGGCTTGGCAGGGGGTTTGGACCTCTTGGTCGCTTCTTTTGCAGCCGCTCCATCTTCAAGACGATGCCAGACATCAGGAAGTTTATGGATTCGGGGGGTTAAGGGGGCTTGGGGTCTTCAGAGCTTTGGGGTCTTCAGAGCTTTGGTGCTCGCCCCTGGTCGCTGGAGGGCTTGAGGTTGAGGATGGCTTGGGTTTCTATCCCCGTCTTCAAAACTCGCGCTGCCTTGCGCAGCTGTAGACACAGAAAGTTTCCAGATTCCAGGGCTCAGAGAGTCCTAAACAGGGAGCTTCATAGCTTAGGGGGGCTCATATATAAGGTTGGTCATTGAGCAGAGCCCCGCCTTGCGCCCGAGCCGCTGAGCTCTCCGCCTGCGGGCTGGCTTCGGACTCGACCGCGCGCGGGACATGGTCGGTGGAGGGGTTGTGATTCACGTATAGGACTATGCCCAGCACTACATGGCTCACCCTCAACTCGAAGCCCTGCACCGTGGAGTTGCCGAAAGCAGCCTGTTCTTCGGCTTTAGGGATGTGAAGGGTTTAGGGTTTAGGGTTTAGGGTTTGGGGTTTAGGGTTGAGGGTTGAGGGTTGAGGGTTGAGGGTTGGGGTTTTCTTTTGGATCCGAGGCTGATGACCCTATCTCAAGCAGGTTTCAGGCACACGGCCTGGAGCTCTTGAGGTTGGACAGTAGGAAGTATGTGTGTGTGTGGCTTAGGGCTCCAGGTACGGAGCTTCAAATCTGATTAGGGTTTCGCAGGTCTCATGGGAGTCAAGCTTGATGTAACCCTAAGGTGTTCCCACAATATACCCCGATTCTGGCCCTCATATTCCTTACAGGATCTTTAAAACGGGTCCCCAAACACAAGGGTGCAACCTCAGGTGTCCAAGGTAGAGTCCCATGAAAGTCGCGTGCCGACACATGACCTCTCGACAAGTAGATGAGCAGGTGAAGAGGAACAGGGCTCTCATTCGGGACGGAGATTGCCTAAAACCCTGAAACCTTGAACCTTGCAAGCTCGCGCTTGAGGTTTAACATAATATTAGGGCCTACAGTGGCGCGCGCTGTCCCTTTGCCAGGTCGGAACAGCGCGCACACACACACACCCACACACCCACACACCCACACACCCACACACCCACACACCCACACACCCACACACCCACCCACCCACCCACCCACCCACACCCACCCACACCCACCCACACACCCACCCACCCACCCACCCACCCACCCGACCACCCGACCACCCACGCACGCACGCACGCATGCACGCACGCACGCACGCACGCACGCGCTCGCGCGCCGCGCGCGCGCGCAAAGCACTCACACTCACGCCCGCACTCACTGCACGCCGCACACACACACACACACACCACCCACACACACACACACACACACCACCCACACACACACACACACACACACACACACACACACACACACACACACACACACACACACACACACACACACACACACACACACACACCCACACACACACCCACACACACACCCACACACACACCAACACACACACCAACACACACACCAACACACACACCAACACACACACCAACACACACACCAACACACACACCAACACACACACCAACACACACACCAACACACACACCAACACACACACCAACACACACACCAACACACACACCAACACACACACACACACACACACACACACACACACACACACACACACACACACACAACACAACACCACACACACACACACACACACACACACACACACACCCCACACACACCCACACAACAACAAACACACACAGACACACACACACACACACCACACCACACCACACCACACCACACCACACCACACCACACCACACCACAACACACACACACACACCACAACACACACACACACACACACCACAACACACACACACACCACGACACACACACACACCACAACACACACACACACCACAACACACACACACACACACACCACAACACACACACACACACACACACACACACACCCCACCCACACGCACCCGCACCGCGCACCCGCACCCAGCCACCGCACCCGCAGCCCATCCCCCGCAACCCTCACCCTCACGCTCACGCGCGACGCGCAACGCTCACGCGCAGCGCACTCGCACCCGCACGGCGCACGCTCTCACTCCGCGCACAGCGCGCCACAGTCTGCGCACATCGCGCCAACATTCCGCTCACGCGCGCACCGCGCACGCTCGCGTCACGGCGCGCACGCGCGCAACGCGCTCACGCGCTCACGGCTCTCACTCAAGCGCGTCACGCGCTTCGACCGTCTCGCACTGCGCGCAACCACTCACACACTCCACACGCACACACGCACACACGCACACACGCACACACGCACACACCCACACACCCACACACCCACACACACACACACACACACACACACACACACACACACACTCACACTCACACACACACACACACACTCACACACACACACACACACAGACACACACACGCTCACAATCAGTTCTCAACATCGAACCGGGTGTCGTTGTGAACCACCATCAGGCAAGACCCTAAATTTGACCCTAAACCTTTAAACCCTAAACCTCAAAACCTCAACCGCCAGCCCTAAACCCCAAGCCTTGAACCCAGAACCCGAACCACCAAAGAGGGACAAACCCTAGAACTAAACCCTAAACCCTAATCACCAATCCCTAAACCCCTAAACCCCTAAACCCCTAAACCCCTGAACCCCTAAACCCCTAAACCCCTAAACCCCTAAACCCCTAAACCCCTAAACCCCTAAACCCCTAAACCCCTAAACCCCTCAACCCCTAAATCCCTAAATCCCTAAACCCCAGGACCCCTAAACCCCCTAAAACCCCTGAACCCCAAAACCCCTAAACCTCTAAACCCCAAACCCTAAACCCTAAAACCCTAAACCCCCTAATCCCCCAAACCCCTAAACCCCCAAACCCTGAACCCTGAACCCTAAACCCTAAACCCTAAACCCTAAACCCTAAACCCTAAACCCTAAACCCTAAACCCTAAACCCTAAACCCTAAACCCTAAACCCTAAACCCTAAACCCTAAACCATACCCAGAACCGAACCATCCATGCACGGAACCGCCCAGGTGGCAGATGGCTGCCGATGGGGGCGGTTCGTTTTGGGCCACCTTTGGGGGAGGGGCGGCACCAGAGGCCAGGGTTCCCTAAACCTAAGCCCTAAGCCCTAAACCCTAAACCCTAAACCCTAAACCCTAAACCTTAAACCCTAAACCCTAAACCCTAAAGTTAATCCTAAACCCTAAAACCTAACCCTAAACCCTAAAACCGGAGTGCACCCCAGGCCGTCCACTCACTCACTCACTCACTCACTCACTCACTAAACCCTAAACCCAAATACATCGCATAAATCGTATACGTTTTACTGCCTATGTTGTAAAAAAGTTTTCCCTCATATGTGAACGATCGGTTGCAAACGGAACCGGGGAGACCATGAGGCCCCGCACATGGCCCTGATCTCAGCCTGAAACCCCGAAGCCGGTTGAGGGTTTATAGGGTTTATAGGGTTTATAGGGTTTCTAGGGTCTATAGGGTTTATAGGGTTTATAGGGTTTATGGGGTTTATAGGGTTTATAGGGTTTATAGGGTTTATAGGGTTTATAGGGCTTAGGGCTTAGGGCTTCGGGTTTAGGGTTTAGGGTTTGGGGTTTAGGGTTTGGGTCTTTGCCAGCTACATCTTGGGATGTTCCCCTTTCTATTAACAGTCCTTACTGGGGATAGTAGTACCCCCTATTGCATATTATATTCCCGACCGAAGACTTTAAGGATCACTAGCCCAGGAAGATGCCACGTGATCCAAAGCCCAGCAGCATGAGAGAACAGGAAACAAGATAGTGTCCAAACACTAGGTAGGCCCTTGGGATAGAGTTTTATTTGCCCTCATTGGGTTTAAGAGGATCATCTCCAGGAATATGTTTCAGAGGGTTTAAGGGCCCTCCCTAGAACAAGCCTGGGGCCGAGAGAATCGTGAATATTTCGGGCATGGGGGCTCCGGATTGCCCACATGGCCCACAAAGCATTGAGAACTGTAGGGGGGTTACTTGGCGGTGCATGGGGAAAGTAGGGTTCTGAGTACCTAACATGGGGGGTTATAAGTACAAATACCATACTTTATAACCCTACTTTTAGCTACCCATGAACCTCCAAGTATGGTTTAGTTCCCATGCCTAAAACCCTACGTATAACTATGAACCTCCAAGTATGGACTGGTTGACCCTCAGAAAAGTGCTGCGGGAGGTTTCGCCTCTAGAAGAGAAGCTGCAAACCCCGAACTGCAGCGTGGAGGCTTGCGGGCTCCAGGTTCAGATGGCGGGGGGGTTGAGGGTTTGAGGGTTTGAGGGTTTGAGGGTTTGAGGGTTTGAGGGTTTGAGGGTTTGAGGGTTTGAGGGTTTGAGGGTTTGAGGGTTTGAGGGTTTGAGGGTTTGAGCGTTTGAGGCTTTGAGGGTTTGAGGGTTTGAGGCTTTGAGGGTTTTAGGTCTAGCTGGGCATGTGGATGTCACTTCTCCACCTTGCGAAAATGACATGTGAGGGAGGCCTCCTGAATCTACAGCTGCTACTGCTGAGGGTTTCCTCAAGCGACTTTCAACCCTGAGCCTTCATCATCCTAAAGCCACAGCGCCATGAAACCCGACGACACCCAGTAGTACGCTTCGTTTCATAAACCACATTTTGCAGAGAAAGGTCTCCCTTTGTAATTGTAGTCTTAAGGATCAAGAAAGAAACCCTAAACATCCCCATCCCACCTGCGCCTGCTGTCACAGCCCTGTCTCCAACCAGGGACTGCTGGACGAGGAGGAGATCATCCAGGACTCGGGTGGTGCAGGGTTTGGGGGGTTGTCTGGCTTTGGGGGGCTCTTGGGTTGCTTGGGTTTTTTGTTGGGGAGAGTCTCTTCGCGTATGCGTGCAGGTATCCCGGAGTTTTGTGTTCGGACCAAGAGATCCGCGGAGCCTCCGAGGAGTTCAAGACCGGGAACCCCCGCCTGGTGGCGCGGCTGTCCGAGCCAGATGCCATCCAGGCCCAAGCTCCTTTCCAGTGCTTTCCTGGGACCCGGAGTAGGCCCTTATTTCCTTTTGTAGGGTTGGGGTTCCCTTAAAACCAAAAGAAGGGTGCCCTTCTTTTTTTCCAGGTTACTGCTGGGCCCCATACCTTAAACCCCAAATCCCAAGCCCTAAACCCTGAACCCTGCACCCGGGACCTCTGAAGATAGTCAGGGTTCCCAAGTTGGGCCTCACTGGCGCAGCTAGTCGCAACTTTCGAGTTGCAGGATTTCGAGATTAGGGCCTGAGGGCTGGAGATTGTTCAGACTTGAAATCATGGGGTTCTGACTCGTGCTTGCAAGGATGTGCCCCTAAGAGGTTATACTCCTAATATTGCCCTTACAGTGTCCTAAGCCCTAGCTAAGAAGCCCTAAGAAACCCTAAAAAACCCTAGACCCTAAACCCTAAACCCTAAACCCTAAACGCTAAACCCTAAACCCTAAACCCTGAACCCTAAACCCTAAACCCTAAACCCTAAACCCTAAACCCTAAACCCTAAACCCTAAACCCTAAACCCTGCAGCCCTTGATGAAAGGGCTCCAAGATGCAGGATCCCAGAGTTCGAGCCCTGAAAACCACTCAGCTTCCACTTGGAGGTTCATGGGTAGTTATAAGTAGGGTTATAAGTTATAAATACCCTAGGTGGGGTTATAAGTAGGGTAATAAGTACCCTAGGTGGGGTTATAAGTAGTTTCTAAGTACCCTAAGTGGGGTTCGTAAGTATAATTGCCATGCTTATAGCCCTACTTATAGCCCTACTCAGAACCCTACTTTTGACCCTACTTAGAACCCTACTTTTGACCCTACTTATCACCCTACTTCTGACCCTAACCCCTAAACCCCTAAAAAAACCCTAAAAAACTCTATTAAACCCCTTTTAAACCCCTATTAAACCCCTATTAAACCCCTATTAAACCCCTATTAAACCCCTATTAAACCCCTATTAAACCCCTATTGAACCCCTATTAGACCCCTATTGAACCCCTATTAGACCCCTATTAAACCCCTATTAAACCCCTATTAAACCCCTATTAAACCCGTATTAAACCCCTTTTAAACCCCTATTAAACCCCTAAGCCCCTAAACCCTAGCCCCTAAACCCTAAACCCTAAACCCTAAACCCTAAACCCTAAACCCTAAACCCTAAACCCTAAACCCTAAACCCTAGCCCCTAAACCCTAAACCCTAGCCCCTAAACCCTAAACCCTAAACCCTAAACCCTAAACCCTAAACCCTGAACCCTGAACCCTGAACCCTGAACCCTGAACCCTGAACCCTGAACCCTGAACCCTGAACCCTGAACCCTGACCCTGAACCCTAAACCCTAAACCCTAAACCCTAAACCCTAAACCCTAAACCCTAAACCCTAAACCCTAAACCCTAAACCCTAAACCCTAAACCCTAAACCCTAAACCCTAAACCCTAAACCCTAAACCCTAAACCCTAAACCCTACCCCTAAACCCTAAACCCTAAACCCTAAACCCTAAACCCTAAACCCTAAACCCTAAACCCTGAACCCTGAACCCTGAACCCTGAACCCTGAACCCTGAATTTTGAATCCTGAACCCTGAACCCTAAACCCTAAACCCTAAACCCTAAAACCCTAAAACCCTAAACCCTAAACCCTAAACCCTAAACCCTAAACCCTAAACCCTAAACCCTAAACCTGAATTTTGAACCCTGAACCCCTGAACCTCCAAGCAGAGGCTTTCGGGTTTGTGGCCTGCGGAACGCAGGCGCTCATGGAGTTCATCACCCTGGAGCCGAGGGCTGACGCCTGGGCCTCACCAGGTTTAGGGTTTAGGGTTGAGGGTTTTAGGGTTTAGGGTTTAGGGTTTAGGGTTTAGGGTTTAGGGTTCAGGGTTTAGGGTTTAGGGTTTAGGGTTCAGTGTTCAGAGTTTCAGCTAAACCCTGGTTCCTTTCCTGGAATTTGGGAATCAGGGCATCAGAGCAGTGGGTTGAGGGTTCAGGGTTGAGGAAGTGCAAGATCGAGGTCCTGGAGCCCTACGCGCTGGAGAATTGAACTTGCTGATTCTTAGTAGAGAGTTTGAGACTTTTGCCCCCTTCTTGTATAGCCCGTACCCTAAATCCTGAACCCTAAGCCCTAAAGCCTAAAGCCTAAAGCCTAAAGCCTAAAGCCTAAAGCCTAAAGCCTAAAGCCTAAAGCCTAAAGCCTAAAGCCTAAAGCCTAAAGCCTGAAGCCTGAAGCCTGAAGCCTGAAGCCTGAAGCCTGAAGCCTGAAGCCTGAAGCCTAAAGCCTAAAGCCTAAAGCCTAAAGCCTAAAGCCTAAAGCCTGAAGCTTGAAGCCTGAAGCCTGAAGCCTAAAGCCTAAAGCCTAAAGCCTAAAGCCTAAAGCCTGAAGCCTGAAGCCTGAAGCCTGAAGCCTAAAGCCTAAAGCCTAAAGCCTAAAGAAGCCTAAAGCCTGAAGCTTGAAGCCTGAAGCCTAAAGCCTAAAGCCTAAAGCCTAAAGCCTAAAGCCTAAAGCCTAAAACCTAAAGCCTAAAGCCTAAAGCCTAAAGCCTAAAGCCGAAAGCCGAAAGCCGAAAGCCGAAAGCCGAAAGCCGAAAGCCGAAAGCCGAAAGCCGAAAGCCGAAAGCCGAAAGCCGAAAGCCGAAAGCCGAAAGCCGAAAGCCTAAAGCCTAAAGCCTAAAGCCTAAAGCCTGAAGCCTGAAGCCTAAAGCCTGAAGCCTGAAGCCTCAAGCCTGAAGCCTGAAGCCTCAAGCCTAAAGCCTAAAGCCTAAAGCCTAAAGCCCAAAGCCGAAAGCCGAAAGCCGAACGCCGAAAGCCGAAAGCCGAAAGCCGAAAGCCGAAAGCTTAAAGCCGAAACCCCAATTCAACCCTGGGGTTGAAGGCGTGAGGCCCTGTCGTCCGTCCTCCAGGGTTGAAGTCCACGCCGACGAGGGGGGGGGGGGGTTTTGAGGTTTGCTTGGGTCTAGGGTGCGCTTAATTCATGGGTGTTAGGGTTCAAGGTTGAGGGTTTAGGGATTAGGGTTCAGGGTTTAGGGTTGAGGGTTTAGGGCTTAGTAAGGTTTAAGTAATGTTAACCTGTCCTCAGAATTTGAAGCCTGCGCTTCCTAGACACAATCTCAACTCTGAAAGTTGGGTACTGCTGTAGCTGGGCCCCAAACGCTAACAAGCGAACTTCCGGGAACATCGCAAGAAGGTGATCATCAGAACCGATCAAGCTGTAGACCAGATGTTTGCGGGCCCTCAGACCCTAAACCCTGAGCCTGCGCTCGAAACACTCGTTGCTTTTTGTCCACAAAGCCATAGTTCCTACAGCTGAACACGCCCTTCTTCCGCCCAAAGGCCCCTTGCAACCGCTGCTTCCGCTATCCGTTCTTGACGGTGGAGCTGATCACCTGTGCGGCCCCAAGCGGCCGAAGGGAAGACCCTTCCCCCATTTGCACGAAACTCGAAACTCTCAAAACCCTAAATCCTAAACCATAAACCCTAAACCGGAAACCTTAAACCCTAAACCCTAAACCTTTGACACTTTGCTCATGCAGTCTGAAAGATAGTCATGAGGCTTTGCTGTGCCATAGGTGGGTATTTCCTACACTTTCAAAACCTTTGTACTTTGATTTTCTTAGGATGCTCAGACGCGCCTTTCCCTTTCCGTATGTTCGGCTTCCTGTATTGTACCCTGTAGACAAAACAAAGGCAACCTCGTTCTCCCTCGCACTGGGAAGCAGCTCGTTTCCGGCCTTAGGAATCTAATGTCATATCGCTGTTGAAGCTCGCTAAACAGAGTAAACCCTAACAGCCCCCCCCCCCCCCCCCCCCCCTCACCCCAAACCCTACAACCCCAACTCGGAATGCCAAAATGTTGTTTCCGGCGCTGAGGGCTGTTTGCGAAAAGCCCTTCGAGAGCAGGTGAAGTCCTGAAGGTGAAGCCTCGAATTAAATCCTAAGGGTTAAACCCTAAACCCCTAACCCCTAACCCCTACGTAACCCCTATCCCCTAACCCCAAACCCCTAACCCCAAACCCCTAACCCCTAACCCCTAACCCCTAACCCCTAACCCCTAACCCCTAACCCCTAACCCCTAACCCCTAACCCCTCATCCTAAACCCTTAACCCTTAACCCTAAACCCTAAACCCCTAAACCCCTAAACCCCCAAACCCCTAAATCCCTAAACCCCTAAACCCCTAAGCCCCCAAAACCCAAACCCTGCTATATTTAGGGTAAGCCGTAGGATCCAGGGCTCTGGGGTTCCAGGGCCATTTAGGGGTTAGGCTTTAAGCCTCCAAATGCCGCCGTCGGGGCTTCGCGGCGGGGACTCGGGTTAAGTTTCAGAAGTTCTGCGAAACTCAGAAAACAAGAGCCGGGCTGTTCAATCTCAGCAGGAAGACGGATTCACAGAAAACGCCCAGCTGCTGGATGATGATGATGATGATGATGATGGTGGTGGTGGTGATGATGATGATGAGGAGGAATTTTCCCATTGCCAATATGGACGGACTTTTCTTTTAGCTTTCCAGTCCAACTGAGTGCGAACAATCCGCGGAGGACACCAGCTGCGCATACCGTTCCAGCATTGCGCTCTGTGGCGCAGACCATTTCCTCACATGACACATTCACGCAATCTATCTTGCCACCTCGACAACTACCGAGGTGAACGCACATGACTCCAGACAGTTGACAAGAGACGTAGATTTAGCCCTCATGAATTGGGATGCTCCCTCCTTGTACCAACACTCTCTAAGAGGGAGTATAGTAACATCGTACCCCCCTATTGCAATCCAGATAAAGGACTGCTGGTGTAAGGGGGAACATTCCAGCCCATGACTCCCCAGCACCAAGAGATCGAAGCCTGTGCCCCCGACTCCTGGCGATGGGGGAACTGAACTTAGGTTACCGGAGAAGACATCACGTTCTGAGAGTTGGACCCTATGATGGCAACCCTGAGACCTAAAAACCTAGACCCTAAACCTTAGCGTAGCCCTAAACCCCTCAACCCTCAACCCTCAACCCTCAACCCTAAACCCTAAAGCCTAAACCCTAGGCCCTAAGCCCTAAGCCCTAAACCCTAAACCCTAAACCCTTGAAACCTGAAGTGGCCCGAAACCCCAAAACCCAGAATCAGGTGGGCCCCCGAAGTTCTTGGAGCTCCTGGTCAACCCAAAGAGCTGCAACGCCGGGGGGCTCCGTAGGAGCTTCGGGGTTTGGGGTTTTTGGGGTTTTTGGGTTTGGGGCTTAGGGTTTAGAGTGTTTTGGGCTTAGGGTTTTGGGCTTAGGGTTTTGGGTTTAGGGTTTTGGGTTTTGGTTTTTGAGTTTTGGTTTTTTGGGTTTCGGGCTTTGGGTGTGGATTCGCGGTCAGGGTTTGGGGGTCTGGAAAGCTTCTGGTTTGGGATTGAGAGGTCGCAGGAGTCCGGGGATGCTTCTGATCCTCTACTCCCCCCACCCCCCGCTTTGGGGGCCCTACCTTTCAAAGGTGCTTGATGGTGGGCATCTGCCTGTACCTCCTACCCGGGTACCACACGTTGCTCCTGTGTGCCCTTTCAGGGTTGACTTCGCAGTTCGGGGCTCGGGTTCAGTGCTCAGGGTTTGAGATTTGGAGTCTTTCGGTTGGAGTGAGGCTGTCACGTTTTGAACCGGAAGTAAACGATCCCCGGAAGCCTTGCACCCGGAAAGACAGTAGCCTACTTTACTCACCCGTCCACCCTCACCAAATTCCCTAACCCAACTCCCCAATAAACCCTAAACCCTAAACCCTAAACCCTAAACCCTAAACCCCAAACCCTAAACCCTAAACCCTAAACCCTAAACCCTAAACCCTAAACCCTAAACCCTAAACCCTAAACCCTAAACCCCAAACCCTAAACCCTACACCTTGTAACGCCCTAAGCCCCCCCCCCTCTGGGCCGAGGCCCTGGAGTTGCTCTGGGGCTTCCTCGGCAGCACTGCGCCTGGGGAGGCGCAAGAGTTCTCGTTGTTGTTGAGAGTGAAGGGGGGGGGGGGGAGATATGAGGAGGAGTTCAACCCCAAACGCCCCGAATGCCCTAAACTTGAGGGCAGCACGAGCAGAGTCCGGCGTGCTGACCGGGCTTAGGCTTTGCGATGCTCGGGGTGTACACAGGCTGTCAGTTGTTTTTTAAGGTTGAAAGGCACATGTCCTTAGACCCTAAGCCCTGACCCCTAAATCCCTAAACCCCTAAACCCCTAAACCCCTAAACCCCGAAACCCCGAAACCCCGAAACCCCGAAACCCCGAAACCCCGAAACCCCGAAACCCCAACCCCTAAACCCCTAAACCCCTAAACCCCACCCCTAAACGCCCTAAACCCCTAAAACCCCTAAACCCTAAACCCTAAACCCTAAACCCCTAAACCCCTAAACCGCCTAAACCCTAAACCCCTAAACCCCTAAACCCCTAAACCCTAAACCCTAAACCCTAAACCCTAAACCCTAAACCCTAAACCCTAAACCCTAAACCCTAAAACCCTAAAAACCCTAAAAACCCTAAAAACCCTAAACCCTAAACCCCAACGTAAACCAAGCGGGCAGAGCCGCTCCGCCCCCTCTGGCTCATCAAGCCACCGACCACGCCGGATGCCCAACGTAGTGACGAGGACGAGGAACAGAACCCTATACACCCCTAAACCCTACTGTAAACCCTAGGCCCTAAACCCTGAAGCCTCAACCCTAAACCCTAAACCCTCAACCCTAAACCTAAACCCTAAACCCTAAATCCTAAGACCTGAAAGTCGCAAGAGGTGAATTCGGTTCTGGCCGGGTACTTTGCGCGCACGGCCGCGGCACTGCTGTCGAAGCATCAGAAAGAGGCTGGAGAGGGCTTTAGGCTTTAGGGCTTAGGGTTTAATTAGGGTTTAGGGTTTAGGGCTGGCGTCTGCACGTGGACTGTGCACCCATAAGCCCTCGAAACCTACAAACATTAACCTTGGGATGTTCCCCCGTATACTAACAGTCCTTCATAGGGATTATCGTAGGGGGTACTAGATCCCTTTTGCGGACTATTAGGCAAAAGGGGGAACAACCCTAAACCCCAAACCCTAAACCCTAAACCCTAACCCTAAACCCTAAACCCTAAACCCTAAACCCTAAACCCTAAACCCTAAACCCTAAACCCTAAACCCTAAACCCTAAACCCTAAACCCTAAACCCTAAACCCTACAAACCATGACGATGTTACAGCCTTCGGGAGAAAGAGCGTGCCTGGCCTGAACCCTGAAGCCGATGTCAGGTTTGGTAGGGTTTCGGGTTCGGGTTTCGGGTTTAGGGGTCAGGGTTTAGGGTTTAGGGGCTAGCTAGGGGTTAGCTAGGGTTTAGCTGGGGTTTAGGGTTTGGGGTTTGGGGTTTAGGGTTTGGGGTTTGGGGTTTGGGTTTTGGGGTTTGGAGTTTGGGGTTTGGGGTTTGTGGTTTAGGGTTTAGGGCCTAGGGTTTAGGGTTTAGTTAGGGTTTAGGGAGCATGTCTTGTTCACATTTGGGGGGTTTCCGAACATAGGCGTACCTCTTGAATTCTTGGGGGTCCTTATCTCTAAGGGAATCCTGCTCCTTTTGGGGTTTGTTGTGGGGGGTCCCCTGTTTTCGTAAACCCCAATTTGGTCCCAGTGCTTCATGCCCCGAAAGGTCTTGGAGTACCTGCGCCAGCGTGGCCCGGACCAGCTGCTCAGGGAGTTCCTAGACCGGATCCACTTGAGGCCTGGCAAATTGGGGGGCGGGTTTACGAAAACAGGGGACCCTTAAAAATGCCCCTAATTTCGCAAACCCCCAAAGGAAAAGGTCCAGACCTAAGCTTAGGCCACCAACGCAGTGAGCCCTTGGTCGAAGCGCTCCCGGTCCTCGGAATGAGCCTCCAAAAGGGGCACTGCGTCCCAACAGCAGGTAGAAGCGGCCCGGTGCGGTACCGTGTTTTTTTGGTGCCTGGGAAGACTTCTGGTGGACCCCAAAAAGCCGTACTGGTTGTGCTCAGCCCCAAATTTTGCCAACCTCAGCAAGCAAGCATCCGAACAATGAGCAATGAATCCCGTGCAATAAGCCGTGAACCCTAAACCTTAAACCCTAAACCTTAAACGAAAAAGCACCACACACACACACACCCTTCGGTGGCCCTGAATCCTTACACCCTGAGGCCATGAAATCTTCCAAGTCTGAAAGGCGCACATGCTCAGTCTTATCTACGCACGTTATATGTATGTATATATATATATAATGTACATATGTATATATATATATATGTGCATACATTATATATATATATATATATACATTATATACATTATATATATATATGTCCATTATATCTTGTGCGTCTTTGCATTATACTATATCTTGGTATGTCATATTACACATATGCACCTCCTTCCTTTCGCATCCTGTTTCCGAAGACCCATCAGCCCCGAGCCCATACATCTTGGCCAGCTCATACCGTACTTGTATGAGCCGTCATGGGGTTTGCGGGGAAGGGTTTAGGGTTTAGGTTTTCGGGTTTGGCCTTTCATCTTTAGGGTTTCGGGTTTCGGGTTTAGGGTTTAGGGTTTAGGGGGGCACGACACTAGCAAATTTAGGGCTGCTGTACTGAGCCTCACTGCCGGGAAGGTCGCTGGCGGAGCTCTTTGCGCGGCTCCTGTGTGCTGAAGGTGAGGCCCAGGCCCGGGGGCTAATTTGCTTTAGGGTTTAGGGTTTAGGGTTTAGGGTTCAGGGTTCAGGGTTCAGGGTTCAGGGTTCAGGGTTCAGGGTTCAGGGTTCAGGGTTCAGGGTTCAGGAAGCCCCTAAGTTGGAACACTAGCCTTTGCAGCCTTCGGGCTCTTTTGGAGGCTTGAGAAGGTTTGAATGGTCAGTTCTCTTCGTCATGGTCCCCTTCAGAGCCCCTCTTAACTACACTACAACCCTGCGTGTAGACTTAGGGTGGCCAAGAGAACGGACCATATCTTAGAGAAGTTACCATGCGGTTCTAGGGTCCAGGGTTCCAAAGTTCAGTGTCGCGCGGCACGGATTCCCGGGCGGCCGGGTGCTAGAGGGGCCTGAATAGTTAGAACAGGGGTTTTGGGGGGGGGGGGGGGGGGGGGGTTATTATAGTGTAATTACAAAGGAACCAGAGAGGGGAATACTTGAAGCAATCATTCCGACCCCTAAAATTACAAGGTTCCGGGTTGGAGTGTTGACAAAGGGGGGAAGCGAAGTTTCCTTCCTAGCATGAGTGGCAAGGAGGTCGTGCCCTTATTGGCGAAACCTGACCCCTAAACCCTAAACCCTAAACCCTAAAACCTAAACCCTAAACCCTAAACCCTAAATCCTAGACAGCGTCAGACCAAGCCCTAGCAACCCTGAACACCTTAAGTTTTCGGAGGTGGTATTCCCGACTCAGAACATCGTGGCCCAGCTGCTGGAGAAGTGGCAGGCGCTTTGCCGGGCTTCGACATCGGGCTTTGTTATGATTAGTGTTGTGTTATTTAAGCACTATCAGTATACTATTTGAAAACTCATTGTTCAGAAGCTGTCTATCGTTATCATGATTTATATCTAACACGTTTGATTCGTTCACTTTTTCAAGTTGATATGTGTAAACTCCTCCTTGTGCTGCTGTTGTTGCTAGGTCTTTATCAGTATCCGTGCGTTTTGTCGTCATCGAACCCTAGGCACGTAGGTCCCCGAAGTATTCTTAACTGTCACCTGTTGGGTTTCGGGTCAATCATCTGTAGATCCTACACCCTAAACCCCAAACCCCAAACCCCAAACCCCAAACCCTAAACCCTAAACCCTGAACCCTGAACCCTGAACCCTGAACCTGAACCCTAAACCCTGAACCCTGAACCCTAAACCCTGAAACCTAAATCCTAAACCCTAAACCCCAAACCCCAAACCCTAAACCCTAAACCCTGAACTCTGAACCCTGAACCCTGAACCCTGAACCCTGAACCCTGAAACCTGAACCCTGAAACCTGAACCCTGAACCCTAAGCGCTTAGGGTTCAGGAAATGGTGATTGAAACAAGGTTTGGGGGGCGCCAGAGCTCAGGAGTTCTACGTTGCAAGCCGAATCGGGGTTTGGGGTTCAGGGTGTAGGGTTCAGGGTGTAGCATCATGAGCATCAGCCGGGAAGCCCTTTCGGAGCATCATGGGCGACAGTCACCCCAAAGCCCAAGCATCATGAGCATCAGCCGGGAAGCCCCCGCAACCTTGCCACCCCAAAGCCCCAGCATCATGAGCATCAGCCGGGACAGCCCCGAGCCTTTCGGAGCACCATGGGCAACGGCCCAGTTTTTCGGGAATCGCGTCACCCCAAAGCCCAAGCATCATGAGCATCAGCCGGGAAGCCCCAGCAACCAACGCCACCCAAAGCCCCAGCATCATGCGCATCAGCCGGGAGAGCCGCGAGCCTTTCGGAGCATCATGGGCGATTGTCGGGAACAGCGTCACCCCAAAGCCCCAGCATCATCATGGGCGACAGCCCAGCTTTTCGGGGCTTTAGGGTGGCAAGGTTGCTGGGGCTTCCCGGCTGATGCTCATGATGCTAGGGCTTTGGGGTGACGCGGTTCCCGAAAAACTGGGCCGTTGCCCATGGTGCTTCGGGAAACCGCGTCACCCCAACGCCCAAGCATCATGAGCATCAGCCGGGAAGCCCCAGCAACCAATGCCACCCAAAGCCCCAGCATCATGAGCATCAGCCGGGACAGCCCCGAGCCTTTCGGAAAAGCTGGGCCGTCGCCCATGATGCTCCGAAAGGCTCGGGGCTGTCCCGGCTGATGCTCATGATGCTGGGGCTTTAGGGTGGCAAGGTTGCTGGGGCTTCCCGGCTGATGCTCATGATGCTAGGGCTTTGGGGTGACGCGGTTCCCGAAAAACTGGGCCGTTGCCCATGGTGCTCCGAAAGGCTCGGGGCTGTCCCGGCTGATGCTCATGATGCTGGCTGGGGCTTTGGGTGGCATTGGTTGCTGGGGCTTCCCGGCTGATGCTCATGATGCTTGACGCGGTTCCCGAAAAAGCTGGGCCGTCGCCCATGATGCTCCGAAAGGCTCGGGGCTGTCCCGGCTGATGCTCATGATGCTGGGGCTTTGGGTGGCATTGGTTGCTGGGGCTTCCCGGCTGATGCTCATGATGCTTGGGCTTTGGGGTGACGCGGTCCCGAAAAACTGGGCCGTTGCCCATGGTGCTCCGAAAGGCTCGGGCTGTCCCGGCTGATGCTCATGATGCTGGGGCTTTGGGTGGCATTGGTTGCTGGGGCTTCCCGGCTGATGCTCATGATGCTTGGGCTTTGGGGTGACGCGGTCCCGAAAAACTGGGCCGTTGCCCATGGTGCTCCGAAAAGCTCGGGGCTGTCCCGGCTGATGCTCATGATGCTGGGGCTTTGGGTGGCATTGGTTGCTGGGGCTTCCCGGCTGATGCTCATGATGCTTGGGCTTTGGGGTGACGCGGTCCCGAAAAACTGGGCCGTCGCCCATGGTGCTCCGAAAGGCTCGGGGCTGTCCCGGCTGATGCTCATGATGCTGGGGCTTTGGGTGGCATTGGTTGCTGTCCCGGCTGATGCTCATGATGCTTGGGCTTTGGGGTGACGCGGTCCCGAAAAACTGGGCCGTTGCCCATGGTGCTCCGAAAGGCTCGGGGCTGTCCCGGCTGATGCTCATGATGAGTGGGGCTGGGTGGCATTGGTTGAGGGGGATCCAGGGCGTGATCATGATGCTTGGGCTTGGGGTGACGCGGGTGTTCCCCGAAAAAAAACTGGGCCATTGCCATGGTGCCTCCGAAAGGCTCGGGGCTGTCCCGGCTGATGCTAATGATGCTGGGGCTTTGGGTTTTTGGGCCCAATTTTGGGGGGGGGGGGGGGTTGCTGGGGCTTCCCGGCTGATGCTCATGATGCTTGGGCTTTGGGGTGACGCGGTCCCGAAAAACTGGGCCGTTGCCCATGGTGCTCCGAAAAGCTCGGGGCTGTCCCGGCTGATGCTCATGATGCTGGGGCTTTGGGTGGCATTGGTTGCTGGGGCTTCCCGGCTGATGCTCATGATGCTTGGGCTTTGGGGTGACGCGGTCCCGAAAAACTGGGCCGTCGCCCATGGTGCTCCGAAAGGCTCGGGGCTGTCCCGGCTGATGCTCATGATGCTGGGGCTTTGGGTGGCATTGGTTGCTGTCCCGGCTGATGCTCATGATGCTTGGGCTTTGGGGTGACGCGGTCCCGAAAAACTGGGCCGTTGCCCATGGTGCTCCGAAAGGCTCGGGGCTGTCCCGGCTGATGCTCATGATGCTGGGGCTTTGGGTGGCATTGGTTGCTGGGGCTTCCCGGCTGATGCTCATGATGCTTGGGCTTTGGGGTGACGCGGTCCCGAAAAACTGGGCCGTTGCCCATGGTGCTCCGAAAGGCTCGGGGCTGTCCCGGCTGATGCTCATGATGCTGGGGCTTTGGGTGGCATTGGTTGCTGGGGCTTCCCGGCTGATGCTCATGATGCTTGGGCCTTTGGGGTGACGCGGTCCCGAAAACTGGGCCGTGCCCATGGTGCTCCGAAAGGCTCGGGGCTGTCCCGGCTGATGCTCATGATGCTGGGGCTTTGGGTGGCATTGGTTGCTGGGGCTTCCCGGCTGATGCTCATGATGCTTGGGCTTTGGGGTGACGCGGTCCCGAAAAACTGGGCCATTGCCCATGGTGCTCCGAAAGGCTCGGGGCTGTCCCGGCTGATGCTCATGATGCTGGGGCTTTGGGTGGCATTGGTTGCTGGGGCTTCCCGGCTGATGCTCATGATGCTTGGGCTTTGGGGTGACGCGGTCCCGAAAAACTGGGCCGTTGCCCATGGTGCTCCGAAAAGCTCGGGGCTGTCCCGGCTGATGCTCATGATGCTGGGGCTTTGGGTGGCATTGGTTGCTGGGGCTTCCCGGCTGATGCTCATGATGCTTGGGCTTTGGGGTGACGCGGTCCCGAAAAACTGGGCCGTTGCCCATGGTGCTCCGAAAGGCTCGGGGCTGTCCCGGCTGATGCTCATGATGCTGGGGCTTTGGGTGGCATTGGTTGCTGGGGCTTCCCGGCTGATGCTCATGATGCTTGGGCTTTGGGGTGACGCGGTCCCGAAAAACTGGGCCGTTGCCCATGGTGCTCCGAAAGGCTCGGGGCTGTCCCGGCTGATGCTCATGATGCTGGGGCTTTGGGTGGCATTGGTTGCTGGGGCTTCCCGGCTGATGCTCATGATGCTTGGGCTTTGGGGTGACGCGGTCCCGAAAAACTGGGCCGTTGCCCATGGTGCTCCGAAAGGCTCGGGGCTGTCCCGGCTGATGCTCATGATGCTGGGGCTTTGGGTGGCATTGGTTGCTGGGGCTTCCCGGCTGATGCTCATGATGCTTGGGCTTTGGGGCGACGCGGTCCCGAAAAACTGGGCCGTTGCCCATGGTGCTCCGAAAGGCTCGGGGCTGTCCCGGCTGATGCTCATGATGCTGGGGCTTTGGGTGGCATTGGTTGCTGGGGCTTCCCGGCTGATGCTCATGATGCTTGGGCTTTGGGGTGACGCGGTCCCGAAAAACTGGGCCGTTGCCCATGGTGCTCCGAAAGGCTCGAGGCTGTCCCGGCTTGAAGGTGAATTCGTGTAGATATTCCCGAGCCGCGGGGCCGCCACAAGCCAGGCTCCACAGGATGAATGAACCTCCAAGTAAGCACTGAATCTCAGTCTCAGACCTGCTGGCAAGGAGTGCGAGGCCGGAGGCGACGCGCAAGAGCCTGGCCCTCAGGGGTTGAGGGTTTAGGGTTTAGGGATTAGGGATTAGGGTTTAGGGATTAGGGTTTAGGGTTTTGCGTTGACTTTAACACCCTAGAAGGAAGGTCGCCGTGCCCCTGCACGCCCCAAAACAAAGTCGCCCAAGGAGATCACAGTTGGAGAGCTTTTACAGAGGGGGAGTACTGACTGGTTTGAGCAGGCGTGAGTGCAGGGTCGTGGATTCGTGGAGGTTGGTTTGCTTGTTGGAAGCATTGCGTCGAAGACTTGCAGGCCCACCGAAGCTCTCCGGGCCTTAAGAAGAGCCATCAGCGCAGGAACATTACGCTCATCATCGCCGAGCTCCTGAGCCAGAAGGACCGGGACACGGGCTCCCGGTAGCCGATGGCCGAAGCCGCCCCTACGCTGACGGTTGCCCGTGTCGCGCCCCAACCTTCCCACCACCTCCTCCCCCTCTCCAGAAGAGGTGTGGTGGTGGCAGGAGGGTTCAAGGGAGGTTGGGGGGAGGGGCGCTAGATAACGCGTATCTTTCATGCCAAAACTCGTATGCTTTGAGAGGAGGGGTACACCGTGTACACCTGCTGGGTTTCTACGAGGTCAAGGGTTTATGGTCTAGGGCGAGGCGTTTAGGGTTCTAAAATCCCGGAGGCTATTAGAGCCTGAAAGAACCTTCGAGGTACGTCTTCACGGCCCTAAGCTCCAAATCCTGTGTGCACAGTTTGGAAAGCCAAAGGTTAAGAGGCGTGAATAGAAGTCCTCAGGACGTTCTTTACTGGATCGAAGACCTCACCCACCAGCTCACATCGCCTGCCACGGCGCGCGGGCTTTGGGGGGGTGTTGTTGGAGCACTTGTCAACCGAGCTGAATCACCCTAAACCCTAAACTGAAAGTCGTGCAGTTGGGATGTGTATCAAGCGCTCGGCTTTAGTACAGAAATTCGCGAACCTGAGCTACCAACCCACAGGTTTCATAGGTTCTTTTTTAAGGGATGTTTCGGGGTTTAGGGTCGAGCTACCTCAGACTGGACTGTTGCCTGAACACGTAACTGGACCGGACTGGGCCGTTTTTTGGGACGGTTGTCGGTCTCGAGTTTTAAGGGATGACAAAAACAGATAGTGAGAGTCTCCAAGAGAGAAACCCCGGCCGAAACCTGGATGCAATTGCTGTACCCTAATAGGCCCTAATGACCAAGCAAGGTCTCAACTGCAGACTCTAAACCCTAAACCCCAAACCCCAAGCCCCAAGCCCCAAGCCCCAAACCCCAAACCCCAAACCCCAAACCCCAAACCCCAAGCCCTAAACCCCCAACCCTAAACCCTACACCCTTCATCGTCGGTGCCTGTGGCAGGTCCGGTTTCTCATTGAGCACATCTTCAGACGAGCCGGTGGGGTGCCACCCGCCATGCCACAGCCTCAACTGTCGCGTGCGGCCTGCACCTACCTCCCTCGCACCCGCCGCACAGGCCCCGACAGTAGAGGGAAAACCCTAAACCCTAAACCCTAAACCCCAAACCCCAAACCCTAAACCCTAAGCCCTAAACCAACACCCTCTTCGGACACAAAGCTCGAGAGCTTCTGGCGAGGAGAAACTATTGACAAGCCACAACGCCCCGAGGTCTCTCCTGACAACGGTGATCGTGCATACCACCGCGGGGATCAAGGACGGCATGACGGAGGCAGAAGGAACCCTAAACCCCATTATTTGTTTGATTTTTTCGTTTTAGGGGGGGGGGGTGGTGAGGATCTGCGGCTGAAATCTGAGTTTTCTTGGTGGGGGTTGCCTCACGTCCAAAACGACAAGCCCTAGGGTTGAGAGCTAGCATGGCGTGTACGACTGCACTGAACACTCGGCTGCTTCGCCATTTCGCTTCCGTCAGGAGTGACGCTTTAGCGACGACCTAGGATACATAGATTGGCCTTGTGATCCTGAGCTATATACGCCACCAGCTGGTTTGACGGTTGGGGTTTAGGGGTTCAGGGCGGGGGTGGTGTAGAATTCCGCATTTCGATTCCCCGGCTTGGTAGTTTTCATAGCCGACCCCTTTGTAACCCGGACACGCTCCCTTCCCCACGAAGACCCCAGTCTAGCAGCCCTCGCATAAATTGAGAATCCCATTCTGATCGCCGTTCCCTTCGAAGAAGGGTCGGACAGGGCTGTGGCCAGTGAGGCGATCGCCCGTGGCATTCTTTTGCGGCAGAAGCCAGGTCGTGTCTAGTGGGAGCAAGAGTTTCAAGACCCTACATTCCCGAGTCCCAACTTGTGCCGAATCCTACGAGTGAATCACCTCTTTGCACCGGAAGCTGTATCTATTTGACTATTAAGATAGCAATTAAATTAAATTTGATAATTAATATGCAAAGTGAAGGTCTGTGCCTCAACACCGACGCTGTCTCCGCTCTCACCACCTTCACCGGCATTAGTGGCCGGCGAGGACAGGTCGGGTTCGGATCCATGCGGTCACACAACACGGGCCCTCGTACATGGGATACCTCAGAAAGGGCTCAGAATTGCGTTTAGGGTTTTGGGTTTTGGGCTTTCGGTTTTTAGGGTTTAGGCATAAACCCCAAGCTCGAGACCGACAGAAGCATGGCGAGGAGGACATGACTTTGGACGAAGGTGTGGTGGGCGAGGCACGGCTTATCTCAAGGCTTTAAAGTTAGGGGAAGAGGGGTTGCAAGTGGCCTTTTGGGTTAGGGGGGTTTCGTGTAGCAAAGGCATAGTTGAGGGTTCAACCTCCAACCCGAAGGTCTACTAAACCTGAAGGGGCTGATAGCGAGGGATGCAGATCCCAGCGCCACCGGTGAAGGTTTCGGTTTCAAGGGGCCTTGGTGGCGCAGGACTTCTGGGGGGTGTGGGGGGGGCTTCAGCGTTTGCGGCCTTAGGGGCTTTCGGGGTTGTGTTTGTTCATGTGGGGTTCAGGGTTTGGGGAGGGTTCTGAGCTACTGGTACTCAAACTCAGCTGTAGGTTTAATTGCCCTAAACCCTGAACTCCAAATCCCCTAAAGCCTTCAACCCTTGAAACCCTTTCACCCCTAACCGGCAGTAAACCCAGACACAAAACCAGCCCCTAATTATAATATCGACGCAAGGAAACGCGCGGGCTTTTATGATTATAATTTGGGGCCCTAAACCCTAAACCCTCAACCCTCAACCCTAAACCCTAAACCCTAAACCCTGTTATCATGAGAGCCAAACCCTGCCGAAGGCCTCGACTGCCAGAGCGGCCACCCTGTCGCCCCCCTCAACGCCCGCCGGCCCAGTGAGGGAGTTTAGGGTTTAGGGTTTAGGGTTTCGGGTTTAGGGTTTAGGGTTTGGGGTTTGGGGTTTCAGGGGCTTAAAGGGTTTAAGGGGTTTGAGGCTAGGGACGAAAGAGGCCTGGGTATTGTTTTCAGCTAAAAATGCTGAAAGTTCTTCACTTCTTTCGAAACATTCTAAGCTAAACTCATGTAGTTCTAAAAGGTTCTAAACGTTCTGAAAAAATTCTAGAAAAATCTAAAGTTCTAAAATTTTAAAGCTGCAAGGTTCTTCAGAATTGCTACTATCTAGACTCGTTTGGTTACTGGGGGTTAGGCGTTTAGAGGCTTTAGGAGTTTATAGGTCACGTGGTTCAGAGACTTATCGGGACCGCCGGGTGGCGAGCAATGCCACAGCAGCGGTCATCGCCCTTTGTGGTTCTTTCGTTGCGGGCTCTCTGTCTGCGTGTGTATGTGTGTGTCGGGACGCATTTTTCGGCAAAGGGTGTGGAGTGTGGCGATATGAAGCTGCCCTTCCTGAAATGCAAGCAGAGTGATCTTGGGAAACATGTTCCGAGTTGGACCCTGGGGCCTGGTACAGAATGTCAAAGGGTTCAATCCGCAAAAGGGTCAAAAACCATCGGGAAGATGCGCAAACAATAGAGCTTTCCTAAACCATAGAGCTTTAAGTCCTAAACAATAGAGCTTTAGGTCCTAAACCTGAAACCAGTTTGGAGTCGAGACTTTGGCATTAAGCGGAGCTCTCTGTTGAAGCACAGATGCACGTGCCAACCCTGAACTCCTGAACTCTGAAGCCCCGAACTGAGAGTTATTTCCCTACATGCTTGGCTTCTTAAGGGTTTAGGGTTTAGGGTTTAGGGTTTAGTGGGTTTAGTGGGTTTAGTGGGTTTAGTGGGTTTAGTGGGTTTAGTGGGTTTAGTGGGTTTAGTGGGTTTAGTGGGTTTAGGGTTTAGGGTTTAGGGTTTAGGGTTTAGGGTTTAGGGTCCATCCGATGGAAAGATGGAAAGGCCAAACACAACTCTGAGAAGCACGACGTCAGAGGAGTGGATGGAGAGGCCTCGGTGCATTCAGCATGCCAGGTGCTGCTTGAAAAAAGCCTTTAAGCCCTCAACAGGGGGGGGGGCTATGAACTCCTTGGCCGTTCCTGGATTCAGGGGTTTCTTGAGGGTTTTAGGGTTTGGGTTCAGGGGTTTCTTGAGGGGTTTAGGGTTTAGGGCTTGGGGTGTAGGGTTTAGGGTTTGGGGTTTAGGGTTTAGGGTTTGGGGTTTAGGGTTTGGGCTTTTGGGGTTTAGGGTTTAGGGTTTAGGGTTTAGGGTTTAGGGTTTAGGGTTTAGGGGGCAGGCATTCTTTGGGTTTCTTTGTAGGGCTTCAGGCCAGCATCTCTCAGCCTAGGTACTGTTCCCCCTTGCTTTTCCTGACCTACAGGAAGCCAGTTTAGGGTTTAGGGTTTAGGGTTTAGGGTTTAGGGTTTAGGGTTTAGGGTTTAAATTAGGGTTTAGGGTTTAGGGTTTAGGGTTTAGGGTTTAGGGTTTAGGGTTTAGGGTTTAGGGTTTAGGGTTTAGGGTTTAGGGTTTAGGGTTTAGGGTTCAAACCCTCAGCCCTTAACCTCACATCACCCTCCCGCGCCAGCAAAGTCAGAAACAACATCTTCAGAACCCCTGAGCGCTACAAACTTCATCCCGGACCCAGAGACATGAATAGTTAGGAAACAGTCGCGATTTATATCGCATGTAATATAGTACCGCATCATATAATACAATTAATAATATCATATCAGAAAATCGAATCTAGTATATAGCATGCATACTATATGTCTACATATAGCATGTATACTCTCTACCTCTATATATATATATACATATATGTACAGATAGGAGTTGATAGAAAAGCTCAGTTAAAACCCTCAACTGGACCCCCGAGTCCCCCAACAAAGCCCCAAAACTTCGGCGGCAGGCGGCGAGCGGCGCTGCTGCGGGAGGCCAGCGGAATGATGGTGTTTAGGGTTTAAGGTTTAGGGTTTAGGGTTTAGGATTTAGGGTTTAGAGTCTGCAATTTTTGCCCGCCCGTCTCCTGTTTTCGCGCTTGTTTCCTGACCCATTAAGAAGAACCCCCCCCCCCCAGTGTTGATTCCTAGATGACAGACTTGCATTTACAGCTGCCAGCAGAAAGCCCAAGCCCACGTTCACAATATTTAGAGTCAGAGCCTGCGTTGTCAAAACATCCCAAAGAACTCGCATGATGCACCCTCATTGAGCCCACCAGCCTCTAGCCACTTACTCAAGCCCAGTGACCTGCGCATCTGGATGTTTATGACGTGACGAGGCGAGGTTTTCGACGCTGTCTTCGCGTACTCATGGGCCCCGATGATGTTAGGAGGGTAGGAGGGGGGGGGGGGGTGTTCCCGGGTCGAAGTCGCAGGACTGGAGTGGGCCCATGGCAAGACCAGATTTGTCAGACCTGAAGACCGCGGCAGGACCAGAGCCACGACTTTCCTGAAACGGTTTTCCTCAGACACTCCGAGTTGTCCTTGGAGTCGATGAATGCGGGTCTCATTGGACATGGTGGACGATTACCCTGGACAATCCCATGACACTTTCAGGGCGGACTGCTGCCACTTTGTGGAAGATATACGTATTTGCCGTGCAGGAGCCCTTGAGACGTCACCTGCACTTCTCCAGCGCCCACGCAGTGAACGCCAGAACAGGGAATCGAGAGAGAGAGAGGAGAAAAGGAAAGAGGAAGGGAGAAAAGAGGAAGGAAAGCCATGTGGAAGGCACCCTCGAAACCCACAGGGATGAAATCAAAGCAAAGGCATCTCCTTAGCTGTGCGCAGAGCGCCTAAAAATAAGCCTTTGTAGTGTGCAGGGGGCACCCAAAACAGGGCCTAAGCCAACAAAAAAACCCTCGAATCCTTAACACAGCACAACAGTAAATGTCAAAAGGAAACACCAACGACGACCTACAGCGGAGCCGAGCCGAAGCAGTGCAGAGCAATGTCAGGAGGCAAGAAGGCCTCTGGCACTCACGCCACAAAATCTCAACACCTCAACACCGCTGGCGATGTCACGCAGCGACTTATTCGAATAGCAGCCCATCCCAACGAGTTTCAAGAGGCTGAGGACACCTCGGCCTTGCAGGCCCAGCAGCTGCAGTCACAGCACGACCCCAAACAAGGTGTTTTAAATTCGCCTCGCGAGCCCCGCAGAGACAGCAAGTGGCGAGACCAAAACACCCGACTGGTGGAGCTAGAAGTCACTCACTACACTATCCAGCATGGTAGCCCGATGGGCAGGCCGCAAAAGCATGTGTGCACTTTGCGGAAGACTCGTGCGCCCCTGGATGTCTCCAGGATCTGGGGCCATGCTGCGTGGCGTGTTCTGGAGACCCCAAGAAGGCTTTCGCAGTGCCTGGAGCGGGGTGACGCCACCCTGGCATGTCCGCCACTGACGGCGGACTACACATGCTCCCGTCTACTGCATGGCTAATTTGAAAGCAGCCTCCTCTTCTCGTCTCCTCTGCTGTACATGTCGTGCCTACGCTTCTCTTGTACTGGATGAGTTTCTGCATGAGTCAAATCGCTGCAAATACCCTTCAGCTGGTCTGGGTCTGGCGATGAAGCCCCACGCGAGCGAACATCAAGACATGTCAAGACCAGCCAGGGTTGCAGCAGGGCCACAAAGCCGAAAACCTTAAACTCCACTGTCGACCGCAAGAGCATTGCAACCCCAACAACCCCATCGCCGAGAAACCACCTGAAACAGCCCAGAGCATTCCAAGCTTCGTTCCCCCTGAGAACCTGTCCGAATCCAGTCGCCGCAATTTGTAGGACTTCGGGTGTACAAAACCCTCAAACCTCATCAATACAAACCCGTCACCACAACAGAACCCCCTAAAGTCTGAGGCCTTCCGAGCGTGCCTTCCCCTGAAGCCAAGCCAATCCGAATGACTTGGTAGCCCAGTGGTACCCTTTACCCTTTTTTTTGGTTGATGGTTTCCCTTATAAAATAGCCAACGGTGCCCTTATCATAATATGGTTACTGGGCTACCAGAATGAACATGCAGAGGTGGCCAGCCACTTCCCGCGCCTCCGCGAGGTGCTGGACGCGGGGCTGGCCCAGGCCGCCCCAAGATCCGAAGCGTTTGAACCTTGTAAAACCCTAAACCCTAAACCCCAAACCCCAAACCCTAAACCCTAAACCCTAAACCCCCCGAAACCCCCCCGAAACCCTGTAGAGGTTACTTGCAGGTTCATGGGTGGGTATAAGTAGGGTTATAAGTACCCCAAATGTGGCTATAGGGGTATGGTTGCGGTTGCATTTGCAGGTTTTACTTTTCAAAAAAAATAAGGCCTATGCAGTGCAGCGTCTTTACGTAGTGCGCTCTCAGTTGCTTGCTTTGTGTTCCCCGCTCCTGTTCTCGACATCGGCATACCGTTACGTGAAACCCTACAAGTAGTCTGTCCGGTAGTGCCATCACAGGCCCTGGTGGTGTCCTAGCCATCCTGGCCCTAAACCCGAAACCCTAAAACCCTAAAACCCTAAAACCCTAAAACCCTAAAACCCTAAAACCCTAAAACCTAAACCCTAAACCCTAAACCCTAAACCCTAAACCCTAAACCCCCAACCCCCAACCCCAAACCCAGGCGGCCGAAGATCCTTCGCTAGCCATGCCTCAGGGCAGAATCTGTCCGGTGGGAGGCAGGTGGGGGGCTGTGGAGACGGGGGCTCAAGTTCCAAGCAAGATTAGCTTCGGAACCCCTAAACCCTAAACCCTAAATCCTAAACCCTAAACCCTAAACCCTAAACCCCAAACCCCAAACCCTAAACCCTAAACCCCATAAACCCCATAAACCCCATAATCCCTAAACCCTGAACTCCAAGCCCCAGCAGTTTTGCAGCCTTGGGAGAGCTCCGCGAAGCGGCGCCCTGCTGCACGAGCATGAAAATCTGAGCCAGAAGTCTCGGCACCTAAACCCTAAGCCCTAAGCCTTAAACCCTAAACCCTAAACCCTAAACCCTCTTAGTAGGGAATGGGGGAATGAGGTACCCCATAGAATCCCTTAGAGTGCACACGTAGGGAGGATATAAGGTGCGTAATTCCCTCATTCCCGTTTCAAAGAACCAGGGGGAAATGCCTAAGACAATCCCACATCAACTCAATCAAGTCAGCATGAAGGCTTAGGGGCCTGGGGCTTGGTTCTGAAAGCTTTCGAGGTTTACCCTAAACCCCAAATCCCAAACCCCAAACCCCAAACCCAAAACCCTAAACCCCAAACCCCAAACCCAAAACCCTAAACCCTAAACCCTAAACCTAAACCCTCAACCCTAAACCCTAGTCCATGACCCCAGTGTTGCCCGTGTCACCCTTGTCTTATGCAAGAAAGGGATCCTTAAGATCCCAGACCCCATTCCCCCGAAAGCCCTGGGTTTAGGGTTTAGGGTTTAGGGTTTAGGGTTTAGGGCTTAGGGTTTAGGGTTGAGGGTTGAGGGTTTAGGGTAAACCTCGAAAGATCCTTCACAAGTATCCTCGTTGCCTTTTTAGGGCTAGCTGCCCTGCACTCCCAAATCCGGGCAATGAAGGTTTAGGGCTTCGGGCTGGCGAGATTTAATTCGGGTTTAGGGTTTAGGGTTTAGGGTTTAGGGTTTAGGGTTTAGGGTTTAGGGTTTAGGGTTTAGGGTTTAGGGTTTAGGGTTTAGGGTTTAGGGCTTAGGGCTTAGGGCTTAGGGCTTAGGGCTTAGGGTTTAGGGTTTAGGGCTAGGTCTAGGTCTTAGGGTTTAGGGTTTTAGACAGTTCAAGTCAAGCCAGGGACCACACTGGAAGTCATCAGCCTGATTGCCACAGTGGCAAGGCCAGCGCCCCTCTGAGAAGTCGTAGAAACCATAAACCCTACATGGGGGTTTAGGGTTTAGGGTTTAGGGTTTTGGGGTTTGGGTTTAGGGTTTTGGGTTAAGGGGTACCTTGCTAGGGTCTCTTATTATAAGAGAATCCTACCATTTGGGGGTCAAGATTAGGCCTAAACCCTAACTAAATAAACCCTAAACCCTCTTTGGGGCCAACACCACTTGTTTAGGGTGTAGGGTTGTGGGCTGATAAAACGCAAGGGTGTAGCCGACAATGGTGAAACAGCAAGCGCGACAAACAAAAAGCACCCATTGCAGTTTTTACGTTTTTACACGAAGCTTCTACGGTTTTGGGTTCGCAGGCGTATGCGTCCGATAACCTGGTATACGGAGGCGGGTTCAAGTGCCACATTGCCAGACCGCGACAAGCAGAATCGTGTTTTAAGTTTTCGCGCCGTTGACGCTTGCATACCCTTGCGATCCAACACAAGGGAGCAAGGGAACGACAACGAAACACAAACAACGAAGATTCGGTCCTGCGCCCGTACGCTTGCGCTTGTAAACAGGGTTGTGCTGAGGGAGGGAAAGAACACGGCACAGCACAAACCAACATCTGTTTTACGGCGGATCGGTAACTCGTGAAGTAAACTAATGCCCTCAGCCAGCTCAGCCTGCTGTTGCTTCAACAGTGTGGTTGTGCTTCACGAGGTCCAGTTGAAATCCTTAAGGACTAAACCCTAAACCCTAAACCCTAAACCCCAAACCCTAAACCCCCTAAACCCCCTGAACCCTAAACCAAGGAGTTTGGGTCTGACACACGGCTTTGGGGCAATGCAGGAGGAGCCTAATGATTTCCGATCGGCCTTCTCTTCGCTTCACTGTCTAGTGATAGTGTAAGCGAACCACACTAGGACCGAAAGTGGGCCCTTATCCCCTTTCCCTTATGCGCCCTGTACACCTAAAAGGACAGCGATTGTATTCCTAAGTTACTCTTGGGTCTAGAAACACATCATGTTCTCTTGCCCTAAACCCCAAACCCCCAACCCTAAACCCCAAATCCTTGAGGTGTAGGATTTGGGGGGGCAAGCAGGTCCGGTCTGGACGTGATCCTGGAGGCATTGCTCAACCATCAGCTGCTGCCGCGGTGCGTGGAGGAGCCAGCCTCAACCCCAAACCATAGGTTTAGGGATGGTTTAGGGTTTAGGCTGTGGGGTTTGGGGTTTGGGGTTTAGGGCTTAGGGCTTAGGGCTCAGGAGACAGAGACCTGGACCTGGAAGACTCTAGGGCTTAGGGCCGTTGCTTAGGACCGTTTAGGATTTCAGGTCCCTTCTAGCTTGAGTAGTTTCAAGTGGTACTGAGAGTGTTTCTGGACAGGGATCCTGCGAAAATTGGTCGCTGGCCATATTAAGACAATGCTTCAATGGTTTCTGTTCGGTTGTGACTGTGTGGCTACGATGAAGATCAGGAGGGAAGGTCCTAAACCCTCTAGCCCTAAACCTAAACCTTAAACCGCGCTGCTTCTCAGAGTAGGTCCATGAATTGTCCTTGCCCCTTTCGGGCAGACGGCTCTTCTTGAAGGCGGCCTGAACAAACCACCTTTTAACACCAGATCCTTGGGGGGGGGGGGGGTTTAGGGTTTCGGGTTTAGGGCTAGGGTTCAAGGGAGTATGTGACCCAAGGTTCCCTGGACCCCCCCCCCCCGGCTACTCCTAAGGCTCCCGAAGCTTTTGTAAGAACCCTAAACCCTAAACCCTAACCCTAAACCCGAAACCCAAAACCCTAAACCCTAAACCCTTAAGAACCCTGTCACTTGAAGCTGAGCACAAAGCCCAGAAGCCCCGAGAGGTGTTCTTCAGACACCCGTGGAGCAGCCTGCTGCACAACAGCGTCAAGCAGCTGCTCCTCGAGGCTTGCCTTCGGGAGCTGCAGCTTTGTTTAGGGTTTGGGGTTTGGGGTTTAGGGTTTAGGGTTTAGGGTTTAGGGTTTAGGGCTTAGGGTTTAGGGTTCAGGGTTAGGGTTCAGGGTTCAGGGTTCAGGGTTCAGGGTTCAGGGGTTTGCTGGCGGTAGGGTTTGGATGTTGTAGGTTTGCAGCTCTTCACTTGCAGAGCGACCCCGAAGAATCGCGTTTTCCCGTGGACCCATCATGAATATACTGTAATCCAAAGTGCACTCGGATGGTCCAGCGACAATTCGCGCGGCGGGGCATTGATGTTAGCTTGGGAGGTTTAGGATGTACGTAGGACTTTGCTCTCCGGCTTTTCACAGTCAGTTTCAGTGGCAGCCAAACTGCTTGATCGGGCCAGCCTCTGTGGTGAGTGTCTCTCCAGCTCCAGACCTTCATGTACCCATTGGCTTTTCGATGGTCGTATCGCTATTGGCACGGTTCAAATGGTGCTTCAACCCTAAACCCTCAACCCGAAGCTGCTAACATGCCTGGGAATTTTGGGGTTTTAAGGGGCGACTCAGGATCTAGGGCCAAGAGTCACGACATGAATGCCTGCGAAGCACACAGGAGCATGAATGATCAGTGAGCATCTGTCGGGGTCCCAGAACCCTAAACCCTAAACCCTTAACCCTTAACCCTAAACCGCGCAGCCACAGCATCTTTCAGCCCTTCCAAACAAATGCAACAGTCCTCCAAACCCGGAGAACGAAGATCCCAAGGACCCCTGGTCGTTAGTTCGGAAGATAGTACCCCTAAACCCTAAACCCTAAACCCTCAACCCTAAACCCTAAACGGGGTTCCCCTGAATTCACTCCCAACCTGGCCCTTATGTTGCCTTAGTGGACATGGAACGAGGGTCCCCAAACTCAAGGGTACAACCTTCGGGGTCCGAGGCAGAATCCCATGAAAGGATCTGGGGGTTTACGAAAATAGGGGGCCATTATAGATCCCTGAATAGTCGTATCCCCTTATAGTGAGGACCCCAAAGAGGTACCCCTAAACCCAAAACCCTAAACCCTAAACCCCAAGCCCGAAGCCCTCCTCAGAGCACCTGGCAGGTGCTCTCTGGCACAGATCACCTGAGGCAGGAGCTGATCAGACAACTCCTCAAGGAGGCCCGGGCTTTGCAGGGTTTCACGAGGATGCCCTGTAGACTGCCCTTATTCCCTTTGGGGTTTGGGGCCAGGGTTGAGGGTTTAGGGTTTAGCGTGGTCCCTTGAATAGGGCTTAGGTTCCCGTGGTAAAGCTCAATCAGTTAACAAATGCAGGAGTGCTTTTCGAGAATTCCCAGCTTACTGGGCAACCATTTCAGGACTCATTTGTAAGGGGGGTTCTTCTACGGGCCCTTCTTAGAATATCACCCAGCAAAAGCAATCATTTTTGCAGGGCCCCTCCAAATTTGTTCCAGGTACAGGGTGCCAGAGGGTTGCGGGGCTCATGTTCAAGATTTAGGGTTTAGGGGTTTAGGGGCTCGGGGTTCCGTGAAACAAGGTGGCGCTGACATCCTGTCTGGCTGTTCCTCGCTAGTGTAGTGCCCGTCACTTGCTTGAAACCACAATTGTAAGGTTCCTAAAATAACCCCAAAAGCCCCAAACATCAAACTCGTGCCTTGGAAAGCCCCACGGTTTTTGTAGGACGCATTCGCATTTATGGGTTCTAGGACGGCCCGGGCATTTGGGGGATATGCCTGGCACGAAGTGATATAGAAAGAAGCCTGAACATGAAATCGCTGTTGCCTTGAGCTGAGTTGCTGCAAAGGAACTGAGCTTACATACTCGAGTCTTGTAGCAAGGATTCTATTTTCCTGTTTCGTAGCAAGTATTATATTTTCCTGACTGCGGCAACTGGATGCAAGCTCCTTTGACATCCGAGGCCAGGCTTGCACAGCGCCTGGCTAGCGAGTACGCAGCCGAGGCTGCCTGGAAAGCTGCCACGGTCAAGCCGAGGCAGGTTTAGGGTTCAGGGTTTAGGGTTTAGGGTTTTGGGTTTAGGGTTTTGGGTAGGTTAGCGGTCTTGGGCTTGGGGTGTAGTAGGGATGCTTCGGGATTCAAGCTTTTGGGGGGACGACTCGTAGCTGAGGTTTTGTTTAACCTTGTGGTCTTATTCGGATTTGGTGATGTTTGCAACTTTGCGTGTGTCAGGCGCGGCTTCCAATTGTACAGTGAAAATGGGCGAGCAACAGCCAACAGCTCCTTTCAAACCTATTCGCTCTGAAGAGCCTTGCTGGGTGACACGGCGGAGCCTTGAGCGTCTGCTTCTGTTTGCCAGATAAGTTTGGGGTTCAGAGTTGTTTTCCTGAGAGCGTCTACAATGCCCCCCCCCCCCCCCCAACATAAAAATTGATGTTTGGCCCGAAGCTTTCCTTCACATCTGAGCAAGGCACGCTCGTGTTGGCTACATGGGGCACCTTTTCCTCATAGCCTGCGAGCTGCGCGACTATGGAAACACCAAGTCCGCAGAGGTCTCCCTGTGTTGGGGGTTGGGGGGGGGGGGGGTAAGGATGTAGGGTAGACTTACTGGTTCTTAGTAGGGGAATGAGGGGGGGTAAGTTTCCTATAGAATCCCGTAGAGGGGATTCCCTCAGTCCCTGTTGAGAACCGGTAACCTAAAGCCACTTGCATGCCTCGACTGGACGTTTGGATGTAGGACTTTGGGCAGAAAGGGGATGGGATGCATATGTAGGGCATTGTTGAATGCATCTACTTATAGCTAGGTTGCAGCTGCTTGTAGCTGGCGCCTCACTTTTCTGAAGACATGCTAGCACAAGAGCCAATGTATTCTGTGGTTTTTGTTAGACTCTCCCCGGGCCCAAAATCATGTCAAATGGTTCATCAAAACCACGTGGGCCCAAGCCACTCCCAGCATTTAGGTGGGCTAACCATTCTTCCTTTGTTGGGGTTGTTTAGGGTATTCTACGCTGACCGAGTCCCTTGTGACACAAAGGTACTTGGACATGTCCCCTTATCATATGATCACGTCATATGTGTTGTCTCTACCTAGATTTGCACACATTGACTTCTTTCAGGAGTGTATGCGATTTCTGTGCATGGTTATTTACTATGGACGCAGCACCCAATTCACGTGAGGCTCGCGTGAGTGTTTCAGTAGATGACCGGCATCCCCGCTGGTGAATCAGACTGCGCCCGGGTCAGCCAGAAGCAAGAAGGTTGTCCCTTTTGAATATAGAGACTAGAGACCCAAAGAGTTTCGACGCAAGGCGCAACTTCTTAAGACCCCGGTAAAGCAAAAGCAGGCCTACCCTAAGCTCCTGCAGCTGTTTCCTCCAAACACAAGGCAAACAAAGGAACAACAGCCGCAACAACAACTGCAACAGCAGCAGCAACTGCAACAGCAGCAACAGCAACCACCACTGCCGCCACTACCACCAACGACAACACTGCGTGCATTTCTGAAGCAACAGCAGAAAGAAGCAAGAGAGCCCTAACCGTATCGCCACGTAAGAACCGGATAATCGAATGATCTTACAACTTCATAATCTCGTAACCTGCTATCTGATATCTTGAAGCCAGAACCCTAAACCCTAAACCCTAAACCCTAAACCCTAAACCCTAAACCCTAAACCCTAAACCCTAAACCCTAAACCCTAAACCCTAAACCCTAAACCCTAAACCCTAAACCCTAAACCCTAAACCCTATCTCCAGGTGGGTGAGCTCCTGTCTTCCACCCCGGGCTGGTCGGAGGTGCTGGGGTCCATCAACGTCCGGGGACCTGGGCACAAACTTCGGTTTAGGGATTGGGGTTTAGGGTTTAGGGTTTGAGGTTTGGGTTTAGGGTTTGGGGTGTAGGGTTTAGGGTTTGAGGTTTGGGTTTAGGGTTTGTGGGGGTTTCCCATATTGGGGGTATTTGTTTCGGGCGCTCCTATAAAGACAAGGAGGATGACTAGTTTTTCAGGGTATTTCAGGGCTGCTCTTGTTGGAGCATGGCCACATGGAGTTCGGGGCGCAGGGTTGGCTTAGGCTCGATTCTTCTTCCTGTTGGTTTGCACGGACTGAAGGAGTCTCGCTGAAGCAGCTCGTCATCCAATTACACTTGCTTCCTGCTAGTCACTCTCTGGTCTCTCTCATATTTTAAGGCCCTTCCTGCCCGACAGTACACCCCCAAGCGCTGGAATTTCGTATTCCCTAGACCCTGACTCCCATCCCGAATGGGTTGTAGTACTAGCAATACTACTCATTTTCTTTCGTGAGCTACGACCCAACAGAGAGTGTAGCAGGCTTCGTGGAGCTTTACGGGTTTAAGTGTTCCTTTGCCGGCTTCTTTCTAGCTCGGCTTTGATTGTCGTGCCTCGTAGAGACCAGCTTCCGAATCCTGTTCTTAAGGCAGGTCGGTTCCGGGAACCCGTAGACTACAAACCGCCAACAGGTTGCCGGACACCGGAATTTTTTTTATGTGCGGGGAACCGCTAAACGCAAGTGGTGGCAAGCTAGCCTCGTTGTGTGCAGACACAAACCATGTCTTCTCTTAAGCCGAACCCGCTTGCTGGTGTTCGTGAGGGGCTGAGGATTCTTGGGCAGGCCATAACGTTGAAATACATGCGTCATCACAGCTGCATCCTCGGCTCCCAACGAAAACTGCCATTGTTATGCTGGCCCTGTGCATCGCACACCTGAACAGCCCTTGCAAGTCTTTAGCAATCCCTAAACCCCAAACCCTGAACCCTAAACCCTAAACCACCCAAGCCCGGTTTAGCCCGTCCGAGGACATACAGGGCTTGCACAGGGAGCAGCTGGGTCACGGGCTCAGCAGCGCTGTTCAAGGGGGCTCGGCAGGGACGTCGGGTTTAGGGCGAAGGCATGTGAGATTCGGGCGGCTGGGGCCTATTTAAAGCTTCATCCTACCCAAGAAGCCTTATTTTTGAGTGGTGACTGGATCTCAGGGATAGAATCGCTTAAGAGAGGGGCAGAGGTTGTTCGAATGAGGGCCCCTTTTGGGGGGGCACTCCAACCCTGACAACCCTGGACTCTTCCACCTTGACGCCCCGACTGTAGATTCAGCATCCCCTGCCCAACCAGAAAATCCCGACCCCTCCAACAATAAATCCCCAATTGCAGAGGCTGAGTTCACGTAAGACATTCGAGCACCATCCGTGGTTCCTTTTCTCCATTCAAAACCATCTTAAGGGTTAGGCCTATTTCTAACACCTACGAAGCAAACCAAAAAAAGGGTCTCCTTCCATTCCCACAGTTGCTCAGGCTTCCTCACAGGACGCCACTGAAGCTTACAGCCTTCGGTTAAACGATTCCTCGGCAAACAACTGTTTGTGCACTTCGCTGAGTCACCAGCTGCAGTAAACAGACCCTTCAAAGAACACCAAATTTGCCAAACGCCGCCAACATCAGCGATGCCTTCTCTGAGCCCTTTGTAGGCCCGTGCATCCCGATGACCCTTTAGAAGCAAACAGCCCACGCAAAACCACGTCAGACGACCCCACGCAAACGTTCGCAGCCTCGAATAAACCTCCGAGATACACAATCCCGCAGAAGACCCAAACTCTGCCCTATAAGCCCTACATCCATGTTTGGGGCTGTATAGGGCTTACAAGGCAGCAGTGGCTTGCCTGCGCAAAGAGAGCTTTGAGGGCTTTGGGGGGTTCCCAGAACTCCCAGAACTCCGAAGGCGGCGGCGTGCCGGCCAGCGACCGTGGCTTAGCGTCCACGAAAGCTCCGACAGCCGTGGCTCGGCGCCGACCAGATGCCCCACACCCGTTGCAAAGCCAAAAGCCCTTAAGTCTTGAGGAAACATTGGCCCTTGCATGAACCCAACGCACCCACCCAGCCCAGAAAGAATACGTTTTAAAAAACAAGGGGACATAGTTCAGCTTTGACTGTTTCTTGCTGAGCAGTTGTGATGGTCGCAGCAGCGGGTATGAACTGCAACGCTACGTTAGCGAGATGCCTGGCAAATTTCAGACCAGGACCCCTCGCAAGCTTTGGGACAAAACCCCCACCAAGCCCTAAAAGCTCTTTCGGTTGCCCAGGAGCCCGCGGCGCCTCCCCAGGAGCAGTTTGCTGTGCCGAGCTGAGTAGGAGTGCTCGCATCGCGTAGTCTCCTGTATGCTTGGCGACCCCACCTCTGATTTCCCATGATAGCCCCAAACATGCCCTGCTCCGTGACCCTCACGCTTCAAGCCCCCAAGACCTCTCAGTGGCCCAGCAGAGCACCCCCCTTAAGATGCAGGGGCGAAGTGTGCTGGAAGAAACAGGCATGTCGGATTTGAGGGTCTTGCCCCTCGAGTGCCTCGGAAGGGCGTTGGCTCACAAGCACCCGACAGAACCTTCAGAGGTGTTTTCTTCACTTCCAAGGCCAGCCTTACAGCTCACGAACCCATGAAGTGAGCCCCTGCTTGAGGCGTGTCCTTCCTGGAGCCAGCGAGCCGGCTCTCCAGCCAACCGCGATAAGGGCATTGTCACCGTGTATTTAAGCTTGAGGGATGTTTAGCTGAGGCGTTCCCATTCCAGCTGCAGGGGCATTTGGAACGGCAGGTACTTGGAGTTTCATGGGTAGCTATAAGTAGGGTTATGAGTATGGTAACTATACTTCTAATCCCACTTTGGGTACTTATAACCCTACTTATAACTGCCCATGAACCTCCAGAAAACGGTGGGAATGGCGGGAGCCCCAAACCCGAAACTGCGGGTTCGGGCTAGCATCGCGGGCTTCTGGAGCTAGCTCTAACCACTTGAAGAGGGCTTTCCTTTCTTGCGTAGAAGGCTTCAGGGCGTGATGTAGGCCCACCGGGAAACCACCAGTTTGTTCAGGCGCCGGGTTTAATGTTTACGGTGTAGGGCCTTAGTGACTGCTGACAACACGGTAGTGTGAAAGCCATGGTGTTGAGGCTGGGCGCTTGCGTTGGAGAGCTCTGTTTTGTTGGGGCTCGCAATTAACAGAAAAACCCTGAAAATCCCACATCCCGAAACCGCAATCTTTATCAGGTCATGACGGGCCGGAAGACCTACCTCGCTGAGGAGCCCACAGACCTGCAGGACCGTCGCAAGAGCAGCACGACCGGAAACCGACGCACTTTATCTGCCGAATGTTTGCAACTTTTGGAATGTTAGGAGTGAAGTGTTTCGACATGGTTTCGTTCCATTCCGAAGCCCTGCACCCCAAACCCTCCGTTGGTTTGGCAATGATGTTCATCGGAAAAATTCGAGGAGAATGGCGGCTCAGGCTCGGCCGTCGGATCTTCTTTCAGGGAGGGTTTAGGGTTTAAGGTTTAGGGTTTAGGCTGTAGGCTTTAGGGTTTGTGGTTTGGGGTTTAGGGTTTCTGCCCTCATGTAGAGGTAGCCAGGCGCTTGTGATAGTCGCAATTTCTTTTACGGGGCTGGGACCTTCTTCTGGAATGTTTTCAGACGGTTTGAAGGGCCAACTTGGCTACGTGCTTACCAGTAGAGCTTGCAACTTTAACACAACTTCCCCCGGGGGTGGTAGGGCGCAGGGTGTGCGGTTCCCCCGGTATCCACCCGCCCAACACCCAACCCCTAGACCCTAAATAGACCCGAAGCCCAAACCCCAAACCCTAAAACCCAAACCCTAAACCCTAAACCCTAAACCCTAAACCCTAAACCCTAAACCCTAAACCCTAAACCCTAAACCCTAAACCCTAAACCCTAAACCCTTAACCCCTTAACCCCTTAAACCCTTAAACCCTAAACCCTAAAACCCTAAAACCCTAAAACCCTAAAACCCTAAAACCCTAAACCCTAAACCCTAAACCCTAAAACCCTAAACCTTAAACCCTAAACCCTTGATCCCCAGACTCCAGACTCCATGAACCTTCGATACCCTAAACCTTAAGCTTCAACCCCTAAAACCCCAAACCGAAAGCCCCAAACCGTAGACTCCAAGCCTTATAGTTTTTAGGGGTTAAGGGGTTTAGGGTTTAGGGTTTAGGGTTTAGCTAGAGGAATATGAAGGAAGCCCTTGAGGGGACAAACTTTTAACCCTAAACCCTAAACCCCTGTAGGGTATGAGGGGCCAGGGTTCCCTGGTGCCCCCTTTGGCTGTGTTTGCCCCTAAACCCTGAACCCTGAACCCTAAACCCTAAACCCTAAACCCTAAAACATCAGCACAGCTCCGCCCCAGGGCCCCAGCCGGCTGGCGCCGCGGCGGTCTGGACCCCGGCATGGGCGCCACGGATGGTATGCGGGGGGGGGGGGGGAAAGGGGGGGGTATAAGAGGGGGTATAAGGGGGGCATAAGCGGGGCCAAAGGGGGGATATAAGGGGGTAGCCCAGTGGTGCCCTTTTCCATTTTTTTTGGTTCTGGTAAAGAAACCAACCCAGAAAAGGGTGCCCTTGTTATGACATGGTTACTGGGCTACCAAGAATAGGGTTTCGGGCGGAGGGTGCGGAGGCCTGGAGGAAGAGCCCGCTAGGCCCCAGGCTCAATGCCCGTTGATGGGCGCAGAGCCTTTGCACAGCCGTGGAGGAAGCTCTAAACCCTAAACCCTGAACCCTGAACCCTAAGCCCTAAGCCCTAAGCCCTAAGCCTTAAACCCAGTTCAGATTTAGATTAAGGCTGCGTCTCCGATGGGGTATAGCATCGTTTTCCTTGGGTGTCTTCAAAAATCCTGGCATCATCCTCAAGGCCCTCGAATCTGCTCATGTCGTGAAGAAGATGCCTATGGAAGTGTGCCAGCATAGCCACCATACTCCTTGCATCAGATAGGTTTGCTTTAAGCACTTCTGATTTAGAAGCTCTTGTGTGAGCTTGTGTAACACCGCACTTCTTCGCACGCAGACCTCCTTCGCTGTGCCGCCCATGTCGGCCTTGCACAAGATTGTGTGTGGCCTACTTGCAGCAAGCATAAATGCTAATCCAGACAGCGGAGCATGTGTTGGGAGCAGCGCGCCTCATACTGCCGCTCTGCTGGCTGCTGTAAGCGACCAGGCCCATCCACAGAGGCGACTGCAAGGGCCGTTTGATCTCCATCCTGCCTGGGCGCCAGTGCAAGCATCTAACAGCACAGCGCCGACAGACCTGGAGCCGGCTCGCTGCCCACACCTTTCGAGGGATTGCGCCCACTGTCAGCTCCACGTGCAGGCTGAAGAAGGTCGTCAGCGCCCTTCTCATGGCGGCTTTCTCGCGTTGCTTTTTCTGGCCCTTGCTGCTACAGTCTGGCTGAAATGCGAGTCTGAGAAAAAGGTGGCATCTGCGGAGGCAAAAACTTCAGGTTTGTGGCTGCGCGTTCAGAACCAGAAGGCAACAACTATGCAGAAGCACAATGCAGAAATAACTTCCGCGCATCGGCAGTACGCTCAAAAGCTGGCGTGCAAAGACAGAGCGCATCTTCAAGCCATGGCTGTTGAACAAGCGAAGGTGGCGCAGACAGTTAACCGGATGAACGGCCTGCAAGTAGAAACTGCTGCCGCCAAACGTGATGTCGTGTCTGAGCGCGAACGTTGTGCGTTGCTGGCCTTGGCACATGAGAAGGCAATGCAGTCCATCCAAGTAGAGCTGGCATCTGCACGTGCAGAGTTGGCAGAGACCGTTAGCCGGATGAACAGCCTGCAAGTAGAAACTGCTGCCGCCAAACGTGATGTCGTGTCTGAGCGCGAACGTTGTGCGTTGCTGGCCTTGGCACATGAGAAGGCAAAGCAGTCCATCCAAGTAGAGCTGGCATCTGCACGTGCAGAGTTGGCAGATGCGCATTCACGGCTGGCGTCCTTGTCTGAGCAGCACAGGGTTCAAATGGCCGAGTTAGCCTCCGAGCGCGAGGTCCGCCAGCAGCTTCAATACCAACTGGGACGCTGCCAGCAGACTCTCCTGTCGCAGCTGCAGCATCCTCCCGCGCAGCATTCTGAAACTTTGACAGTTGCTTTGCAGCCAGATGACCCGAAGTATGCTGCACTTGAGGAGATGTTCCAGGCCTCCATGGCACGGCATCGCCTCAAGCTCGGTTCCGACCACTGGTGCGATCCGCCAAAGGTTTTGGTGACCGGCATCTCCGAGTTCATCCACGGGCACAAGCTGCAAGAATACGAGCAGGTGCGGCGTGCAAGGTCTGAGGACTGTGCCGAAATTCATGGCGTGACCGCTTTCAAGTGTGTTGTTGGGCATGGCTGGTGCAACTTGAACGAGTACTTGCTGTATCACGGGACCGGTTTCCGAAAGACAGATGACATTGCACGATCTGGGTTCGACGCCCAGCGCGGGGGGGAAACGACGGGAGCCATGTTTGGTCGCGGCGTCTACTTTGCACAAAATGCGTCAAAGTCCGATCTCTATACGACCTGCAGGCAGTGTGTTGCTGACGATTTCCGTAGCTGTCGGCATGCTCAAGGAGAGAGACGCATGTTGGTGTCACGAGTGCTGCTTGGAGAGAGCCTGGTCAAGAAGGAGACCAATGATTTGGTGAGGGGTTGGATCAAAGCTCCAGACCGACCTAATGGGATTCCGTATGATTCAATCACTGCCGCATGCAGAGCGGATGGGGGGGCTGTCGACCACATGGAGTTCGTTGTGTTTAAGGATCCTAGAATGCTTGTTCAGTATCATATTTCTTACCGGCATGATGCAAGTTGCCAATGCAGCTGTTGTCATCGCCGTCGAGGATAGGCTACCTAGTCCTCAATTACTTCACGGCATACACATCTGGTTTAGGGTTTTTGAACTGGCCGTAGCTGCGTGCAAGTCGTCAGACATGCTGGGCTTGAGGCATGTTGTTGTTGCGAGATTTGCGCTCGGGACCTGATTTCCAGGCTTCTTGTGCCTCCTGAAACATCGTGCTCCCTTTGACTTTAACTGGGATTACGATACAGATCTGCTGCGGGAAAAGACGTCATCCGAACATTCTGCACGGCTCAGCTTCAACGGCCAAGTGCAAGCACCTGTGTCCTATAATCCAAGTTCCACAGGAGCGCTGGCCCCCAAAAGCAACCCCTCCAACACGAATCCCCCCGCCAGAAGCATGGAAGGTTTAAGTCACCATCACCTGCGATGTATAACGACAATCCCATAGAGGGACCCACATTTCGGCTTAAAGGGTTCAAGACCCTAAGCCCGAAACCCTAAGCCCTCACCCCTAGCCCCTAAGCCCCAAGCCCCAAGCCCCAAGTCCCAAGCCCCAGCCCCTAAGCCCCAAGCCCTAAGCCCCAGGCCCTAAGCCTTAAGCCTTAAGCCCTAAGCCTTAAGCCGTAAGCCTGAAGCCCTAAGCCCGAAGCCCCAGGCCCTAAGCCCCAAGCCTTAAGCCCCAAGCCCTAAACCCTAAACCCTAAACCCTAAACCCTAAAAACTACAGCAAGCTCTAAACCCTAAAAACTACAGCACTGTTAGATCCGACGCCAGGCGGGAGCCAGCATCCCGAATGGCCAGGCCTCCGCAGGGAGTCTCAAAGGTCAGGGGTTTAGGGTTCAGGGTTCAGGGTTTAGAGTTTAGGGTTTAGGGTTTAGGGTTTAGGGTTTAGGGTTTCGGGTTTAGGGTTTAGGGAAGGATGTGCAGAGTCCGAACCTCCGAAAGGTCATGAGACTTAACGCTTATTGGCGGCTGGCTTTTTGCAGAGAATTCGGGAACGACGAATCTCGGGGCTCCTTACAGGGACCTTGCAAGCGACCCAACTCCCTAGTCCCTAGTAAGACCCTGCAAGTGGACCGCAAAACTTCCAACACACCCTCCCAAGAGTTTCCCAGCCTCAACCCTGCAAACCTCGCGCCAGCTATTTGCTGGGAGATGGTGGGGGAGAATGAGCTTGTGCAGCCGTTTAGCTCTAGTCCCTTCGCCTTAAGCAGTAAGACCTCAAGCCCTAAAACCTGAATTGCTGGAGAGGCAGGCAGAATAGAATCCACAGTTTTAAAATAGCGCCACAAGGTGCAGGTTCTGGAGCCCATAAGCCTAAAACGCCTGAACCCTAAATGGCTTAGAGGCGGAGTGAACCAAACTGTGCATGCTCTTTGGCAGGGCAGCCAGGCGAGCGACGAGGCCAGCAGCCAACAGTCACGCATGTTTGGGGTTTAGGGTTTAGGGTTGAGGGTTGAGGATTGAGGGTTTACGGTTTAGGGTTTTAGGGTTTAGGGTTAGGGTCGAAAGCACGGGCAGGCGAAGGCCCTAAGCCCCATGCTCCTGACTTGGGGTTTGATTCTCTCGTGCTTCACGTGCCTTTCGCTCAGGGGTTTTCGGTTTCCTTGCCTTCGCAAATGGTGTTGAGTTTGTTTCGGGCTTAGGGCGGTGGCTTGTGGGATTTTGCGAGTGGAAGTCTTGCCCCCTACGATCTCGATATGGCCTCAGACCTCTACAGAGGCAGATGACAGTAACGTTGTGGATTTAGAGCTTCAGAATTTTGTTTCTTAGGATGTACGACTCTCATAGGGCGGTCCTATTCCCTCAAGCAGGACTTCTTCGTGCCGCCGAGTGCGCCGCCCGGGCTCAGGTCTGGGCTGGAGGACCTACCGGATCACTTTAAGGGCCGAAGGGCCGAAGGGCCTAAGGGCCGAAGGGCCTAAAGGCTCAGGGTTTCGAGCGTAGGGTACGTCAACAACTACGGTTTAGCTTTGGATGTGTAGACTTATTGAGTCTTCACTGGCATTGCCATGTGGGTTTTTGGCGAGATTCGCGACGTCGGCTTTCGAAGAGGAGTCTAGACCCGGGAGTAGGCCCTTTCTTCCTTGTTTTAGGGTTGGGGTTCCCTTATAATCCTCTTAAAACCAGAAAGGGCGCCCTTTTTATTCCTAGGTTACTCCCGGGCCTAGGAGTGGCTCTACGCTTTGGTCGGGAGTCAGAGCGGAGCAAGCAAAGGGCTTCCTCGCGGGGCGGAGCCTCCACCTCCACAGATTCACACCCACACAGGCAAAACACCAAGAAAGCCCTAAACCCTAAAACCTGAACCCTAAACCCTAAACCTGCAATCCTCCCGAGCCTCGTGAGACCTGGAGATAGGATTCGGGCATGTTTAATAATTTTCGGGTTTCGGGCATGGAAGCCTAGACCCTGCACAAGAATGGAAGGATGCCTTCGACCCGGACGGCTTGTCAAAGGTACAAAGCAGTCGGGGCCTCAGCCCTAAAACCCTCAACCATGTCGGTTTGCAGTAGAGTCGAGGTTTCGGGAATCTTCAATTTGGCTTTTTACGGGCAAGGCAGGTGTATGTAGACGTAGACGAGACGATTTCAGCGGTTTGGGGCGAAGGGATACAGGGAGAAGTGGCCCAAAGCACCTCACAGAGGCCATGAGTCCCGTTTTCGTTTCTAAAGGTTGCCGGGAAATGTGTCGAAATATATGCAAAGTTTCCTAAGTGAGGGTCCCTTTTTGGGTACCCATCATGAGGCGGCACCCTTTAAAAGAGATGCCAAAAAGGGACCCCAATTCAGAGAGCTATAGGCTATCGATACACACTTGGAGAACCCCCACATGCCAGGCTCTTCCTGGGCCAGCTTCCCGGATGCCATGCTCCCAGCCTTTTGGCCATGGACTTCTTGTGGGAGGGTGTATGGAAACATAGTATCCATACCCGAGAAGGCCCCTGAGCACCCTGTAATGCCCCATAGTAAGGCTGCGAATCTCCGAATGACGGCAGACTTGAACTTGACCACTTCATCTCTCGTGCTTTGCGGAGGCCATGCTGCGAATATATCCAAGTCCGAGAAAGCTGACATTTCAGCTCTGTCTTCTCCGGCTTGTCTAAGGCTTTGACTCCAAACCCCCTTAGACCCTAGACCCCAGACCCTAAAGTCCCTAAAGCCCTAAAATGGGGTTAGGGCTTGCGAGTGCTCAGGCGGCCCCCCCGGCCTCCGAAGACTTCGCTTCCTTCCCGGCCTTTCGGGAGGCCTGGGGCTTGAGGTTTAGAATGTTTCGGGGGTTGAGGCGCCAGAGCCCTAAACCTCACAACCCGCACATGTTGCTCAAACTTGGAAGATCCAGAACGCCATGTTGCCAGTCTAGGGCTCAAGGTTTCTAGGCTGCGGCTCCGGGCTTAGGGCTGGAGGGGTTTGGGGTGTCGGACCAGGGAATGAGTTTTCTCTTGATATGGCCCTTGTACCTCAAGATCTTTAAGATAGGTCCCCAAAACCCAATGGTACGACCTTAAGGGATACACTCCTAGTATGGCCCTTATACTATCTTAAGGGATATACTCCTGATATGGCCTTTATGCTAGGATCTTCACTTACGGCGTACGGGTCGAAGGTAGCAGCCCCTAGGTAGGATGGCAAGGTTGCGGGTTTGGTGAGGTGTAGTTCTGCAGGCTCCCGCCGCACCGGAGACCCCCTTCGAGCTCGTGGCTCAGGGCGCGTGCTAGGGTTTAGTTTCGGGTTTGGGGTTTAGGGTTTCGGGTTTAGGGTTTGGGGTTTTGGGTTTGGGGTTTAGGGGTGTTTCCTCCCCAGGTCGCCAATACTGTGGGGGGGGGGGGGGGGGGGGTACTACGGAGTATGGGATAGTGTTGCACTTTAGGTAGGTGTGCTGTGCGACAGTGCTCGATTCGGGGCCGTCTCGTGATGTGGCCCTGTGGTTATTCAGAGAATTCAGAACAAGCCCTAACTTTGGTGAAGAGAGGCAATTAGGGCAACTACGGCGACAGGTTCCTCTCGGCTTGCGGGGCAATGACGAAACGTGCCTTCGCAATGTGCTAAGCGCATGTGCAAGACGAGTCCAGCGTCATCGTCGACAGGCAGCTCACATATTTTCAGAACACATCTTTTCGAACGGGCATTGCAACTTGCGCTTTGTGCTGTGTGACCTAGTGTCTACAGGCATCGGCGGATCAAGTAGAGGAGACTTCGCTCAAGTCAAGCGAGTTAGTTATTGTCGAGTCCCAAGATCTATCAAACACCCCGGAAGGCTGAGGGATGTTCCCCCTTATACTAGCAGTCCTTAATACGGATTCTAAGGGTACTATAATCCCTATTAAGGACAGTTAGTAAGAGGTCCAAACCCCGAGCCCTAAACCATGGTAAGCAGCTGAGGCCACAGTGGCCCATCCCACCAACTGAAAACCAGCGGCCGCCTTCGCGATCGCGGCACCTCCCCTGCAGAATTCTAGGTTACCGTTTAGGGTTTAGGGTTTAGGGTTTAGGGTTTAGGGTTTAGGGTTTAGGGTTTAGGGTTTAGGGTTTAGGGTTTAGGGTTTAGGGTTTAGGGTTTAGGGTTTAGGGTTTAGGGTTCTTTGGGAGGTTAAGCCACCCCAAGCACATGCAAATTTGGGGTTTAGGGATTAGGGTTTAGGGTTAGGGTTTAGGGTGTGAGTTCCCTTTAAACCCTATAGATTCCTTAAATGAAGGAAGGGAGCTGGTAGCCCCGTGAGTTCCAGCCGCGATTGGTTCTTGGGCTCCCAAACTGGACAGCCAAATCTGGCGTTCTTCTGAATCAGGATGTCAAGTTTGGGTGAGTAGGGTTTAGGGTTTTGTGTTTAGGGTTTAGGGTTTAGGGTTAGGATGTGCTGTTTGGGTGAGTAGGGTTTCGGGTTTGGGGGGGTACGTTGTTGGATAGGGTTCCTGTCTATAACTCTGACAACTACGATGACGGCGATTCCTGTCACAGTTGCGCTTCTTATTGTCGGAAGGACGCCAGGATTCCCCTAAAGGGCCCCGACTCGGCCGACGTGGGGGAAGGTACGTGCGAAAACCAGGGAACCCGAAACCCTAAACCCTAAACCCTAAACCCTAAACCCTAAACCCTAAACTGAGGATTGTTACGGTGGGTAACGAGGGTCTCTTGGGAATCGCCGTCGCCAACCGCCTGGGGCGGAGGGGTACCTAAAACAACCTCCGTGGACCAACTGCGGCCCTACCTTAGGGTTTTAGGGCTTTAGGGTTTTAGGGCTTTAGGGTTTTAGGGCTTTAGGGTTTTAGGGTTTGAGGGTTTGAGGGTTTAGGGGTTTCACGGTGTAGGGTTTTAGGGTATAGGGTTTAGGGTTTTAGGATTCTAGGGTTTTAGGGTTTAGGGTTTTAGGATTCTAAAAGTTTAGGGTTTAGGGTTTTAGGATTCCAGGGTGTTAGGGTTGAGGGCTCGGCCCGAAACCCAACAGTTTTGGGGGCTCCCGGGCTGCGAGGCTTTCCTGCGCCAACCCTTCGCCCTCCGCAAAGCCCGAAACCCCTTCGTGGCAGTCCGAGCTAGCTAAAGCCTTTTTTTTTTTTGGGGGGGGGGGGGTTCTTTTAATGAGGACTATATAGTGTTTAAGGGGTATACAAGGGGTACTCTTGTGTCCTATGTGTTCCCTTATTGGGTTTAAGAGGATCCTATTCAGGCATGTTGTTCTGGGGTTTTTAAGCGCCGTCCTAGCGAAAGTACACCGCAACACTGACCTTATGGCTGGTCAGGTTAATGGACTAGAGCTTTATGTACCTCAAGCGCTAACCCCTACGTAGTTCTTTAAGTGCAGGACCCAAAAAAAACGACCCTAAACCAGAGAGCTACCCCCAGAATCCTAAACCCCCAAACCCCAACCCCAAAACCCCAAAACCCCCAAACCCCCAAAACCCCAAAACCCCAAAACCCCAAAACCCCAAAACCCCAAAACCCCAAAACCCCAAAACCCCAAAACCCCAAAACCCCAAAACCCCAAAACCCCAAAACCCCAAAACCCCAAGACCCCAAAACCCCAAAACCCCAAAACCCCAAAACCCCAAAACCCCCAAAACCCCAAAACCCCAAAACCCCAAAACCCCAAAGCCCCAAAACCCTAAACCCAAGTCCTGCCTCGTGAGCTCGTCTGAGGCAGCCGCCTCCCCCTGCCTCGTGGGTGGCGTCCTTCGACTTCGACGAGCCCAGGGCCGCTCTCCCCAGCAACTCTGAGGGTTTCAGTTTAGGGGCTTAGGCTTAGGGGCTTAGGGGTTTTTGGGGTTTAGGGTTTAGGGTTTATTAGGGGTTTTTAGGGGTTTTTCAGGGTTTAAGGTTTGAGTAGGAGTTCGGGTTCACGTTCCGGTGGTAGGGGCTTCGGGGGTTTAGGGGTTTTTAGGGTTTAGGGTTTGAGTAGGATTTAGGGTTTCACGTTCCGGTGGTTCTAGGGCATTCAAGGGATGTCGGGGTTTTAGGGCTGAGGGTTTCTTTTACGCGTCTCGTTGCTGGGTGCCGGGTGACGACGCGACAGCCGCGACTTTTGCATAATGCAGGGCCTTTTCCAAGTAGAAATGATTTTGGTTAGCTCATACTGTACAACATAGGCTCCTTGTGCGGGCAGAACATATCATACATATATGTATATATATATATATATACATACATATATATATATAGAAAATATACACATACATAATCATACATACATGCTGATTTATTATGGCCCCATGCAGCGATCTAGAGCGCCCTTGTGGCAGAGAACCCGTCCGCTTGGATCGCGTGGACCCCGAAAACCCGAAGACTGCAAGTTTGGAGCCTCCAGGACGAAACCCTAAACCCCAAACCCTAAACCCGAAACCCTAAACCCTAAACCCTGAAGACCTGCCCTGACCTGAACGAGCCTCCCAGGACGAGCCCGCGGGGCCACGGAGAGCAGATGCTTCCAGGCCCCCGAGGTTAAGAGCTGATCGTGCATGTTCATGTCTTGCAGAGCAAGAAGGGGGCAGGGAGATGTGGGCCCTGCGGCCGCCGCCCGTGGCCGGGACCGTGCGTTGTTCTCGAAGCCTTCTCGCTTTTGGGACTAGAGTCGCTCTCTCTCTCTCTCTCTCATGGGCGCGGGCGTGCCCGGGCTCAGCGTCCTCGAAACGGTCATGGCTTTTTTGCTTCTGTGTTCGCCAGATGCGACAAGTCGCCGTTGCACACCCGTATTCGCCAAGTTTCAAGTTGTCATGGCTCTGGGAGGTCCGTGTTGCGCACCTGTCGTCGCTTTTGAACGTCCGCGGTCGCCAAATGCGAGATTGTGATTCCTTTTGGGCTTCTGAGCCCACATGGTCTCTCACTGTTGGGGTTCTACGCTGGCATTTTAGCATATTCTGACACGTTCTGATATGTACTCTGGTGTATTGCAGCGTATGTTCGCTTCCGGGCTTGAGCCCCTCAGTCCCCAAGTACGTCCAGGCTCCTGGCCCTAAAAAACTCGGGCTTTAGGGTTTGAGGTTCAGGGTTTAGGGTTTAGGGCTTGAGGGTTTTTGGGGTTCAGGAGGGGTTTGGGGCTTAGGGCTGTTATGGCTTCAGGGCCTTGGGGTTTTTAAGGCTTCGGTGATTAAACCCCCCAGCCCCGTAATATGAAACAAACAAAAACGCGCAAGAATTGGAATGTTCAAAGTTCAATATCAATGGGGGAAGGGGGGAAGGGCGTCTTCATGTGAGGTGAGGGGGTTGTAATTCCTCGCAGCCCTAGAAGCCCCCAAATAACCCTCGACCCCATGAACACATGGTATCCACGGACGCAACCCTTTGCGCGATGGGCGGTTTACAGCAACGGATTGACGCCCAAAAGCTAAACCCAAAACCCGAAGCCCAGCACGAGCTGAAGCTGAGACTACATGATG